CAATCTGCTACTTATCAAATTAATAGTTTTGAGAATTAGCAAATTTATTTTAGAATCAATAAAACACCTACTAAATATTTCGAAAAAGTATTAACTATATCTGATAAAATGAATAATTAATTTATTACTAAAATTCAGAATAAAATTCAAAGAAATAATAATATTTATTATTTTATTATTGTATGTTTAAAAAAAAATTTTTTTATTGATTTTATTCTTATAATTAAAAATAAAATAATAATAATATTTAATACATGTAAAAAAAATTAACATAATATTAAATATTTACTATTTTAACTGTCTCACGCCATACCTCCAAAATACATTCTAAAATTCCACATGATATATAAAAAGATTTATTATTTTCTACTTTGGTAATTGTTTTTTCTCGCCAGGTAAATACAATTTCTTTTTCAATATATACACCATTATTATCCCTTTCTTCAACAAGAATAAATAATTTGCTTCCTAATTTATTTTGCTTTTTTCCCCACGATTGATATCTAAATATAGTTCCTATTTTTTTGTATTCACTTTCTCCTTTAAAAATACAATAATATTTTCATATAGATGGTCGATAAGAAAAACTTGGTTCGTTTGAAAAGAAAAAATAAAATAGGCCTTCTGGGAATTTCCATTGGAATTTCTTTATGCTTTCAGTTATTCGGTGAAATCTTAACTTGAAGTCAACATCCTGAAGAAATATTGTCCGAAAGTGATTTACAATACCTTCTGAAATATATGAAAAATATTGACAATGTGGAACTATACGGTTTTCATTGTGCTTTTTTTTTCATGTGAGATTAATGAAGGTTTTGATGAATATGAATAATTACAAAGATAACATGGAAATGGCTTATTGTGAAATATATGAGTTGACATTTTTATTTACATCATAAATTAGTATCGTGTATTTGACAATATTTTTATTGTTTGTATTACAGTAAATCTATTAGTAATTACAATAATCACATTTAATAATCACATCACATCATAGATTTCTGCCCATATGAAATATTTATATAAAAAATTATAAAAATTATAAAAATATAATTATTATTTCATAAATTTATTTATTATCAATTATGAAAGGGTAATCTTCTTCGTCTTCAATTTCACTTTTAGTTAAAAGATTATCTTCTCGATAAAGATCGCTATTTTTTAATTGTTCTTCAAAAATAGATAATAATGGTTTTATTATTCTTTCTTTACTAATTATATCAGGTAAATTGAAATTTAGAAGGTTTTTGTATATAAAGATGACAAAAGTTTTTTGATAAATTGGAGTATTGGTATTACAAATTTTTTCTAATACTCTTTTAATATATTTGATTTCTGTTTTAGGTATATTTTCAAAAAGTATATCATAAGCCTTTCAAGTTTGTAGGGATGCCTTCCATGCCGTGATCATATTATGGGAGTCCGAAGTTTGGATAGGAGGAAATTCTCATTCCCCAAAAATACTAAATAATGCCTTTTGAAATGTAGCAGTATCAGTTCTTCGATTTTGATGATATTTAAATAGTAACTAAAAATTTAAATATTTTAATTACATTAAATTATATTTTAATAGCAAAGTAAAAGTAATTACCTTTGAAGAAATATGATCTTTATAAAAGGCATTCCATTTTTTTTGTTAAAATGTACTAAATGTACTTTAATATTTTTTTTTTATAACATCTAACGAAATATCTTCAAATTGATTTTGCGTGGGATATATAGTGATATTATAGGTTTTATTTGCTATTTCTTTGACTAATTTTTAATAATAAAATAAATTATAAATAATTTTTTATAATTTATTATCAAACGAAAGGTTTTGTAATTAGATTATCTTAATAAACTCTGATGATATATCTTCTCTTTTGTTGACAAAATCAACAATTATTTTTTTAAGTTTATCGATTTTATTATTTAAAGTATCAAAATTTTTTATTACTTCAGCATTTTGCAAAATTAATTTATTCAAAGTAGGATTTCTAGTTCTTCTTTCTGAAAATATTTTTTCTTATATTTCTTATATTCTTTCTTGTGTTTCTTTTTATGTTCTTTCTTGTGTTCTTATAAATAAATATATAAATATTTTTTTAAAAAGAAGTAAATTATTATATTTAATATTATTATCTTCAGTTAAATTTAATATTTCACAATTAATTTCTACTTCTGGTTCTGTTTCTGTTAGGCCCGTTAGATGAGCTCTTTATTTATTTAACCTTTCTGAAGGTGTAACTGGTTCTTTTCTTTTGTGAGGAGTTAATATTTTAAAGTAAGATTAAGATTATAATGACTAGAGAAGAACATTCCTATAATAGTAACCACGAAATACTTTCAATTTTCACAGTTACATATTTATCCATTATTTTCAGAGCACAAGATCTAATTGATTATATTCTAATTATTTCAAAAGATTACAATTACATTTAAAATATTATAATTTTATATTTGATACTTACTTTTACATTATTAAAAGGTTAATATTCATTGAGGAGTTAATATGATATACCATAAATATTCAAAAATAATCAAATAATTACTCCTTAACATCGAAATAGTAAATCTTCCTATACTAATATAAATTTTAGTAAATATTTAATCTCCTCAAAATTAGTTATTGATATTATACTTTATATTTACTTTGATAGATGTTCTCTAGTATTTTACAATTTTCTCTTTTACAAAATACTTAAAAAAAAGAATGTATAAAGGTCAGTTAGGAACAGCAAGGATTAAAATTAAAATACAGTAAAATTCTCTACTTATATATAGTATATGGATTCCATAATTAATAACTTTGTAAATTTATTATGTAATACAAACATGAAATGATAATATATACTTATTTCAGTAATTTTATAATATGTAAACATTTGTTGAGAATATTATATGATCTGGTAAAAACATGTTTGTTCATATACAATATAAGTATAGGCTTATAATATTCATATGATAATAATTATTCTTCTTTAAAAATTTTATTGTAAATATTATGTGTGAATATTTGTAATATTTAAACAATGCTAATTCAAACTCATTGTAATCATTGTTTAGTTATTCTGAAAATCTTTAACTGTAATATATTAAATCATCGAAGGTTTCAGGAATGTATTAATACTAATAAACTTTTGATCAATATAATATCTAATAAAATTATAACAATAATATAATTACGTTCAGTGAACATAAATAATAATCTTAATTGTTGTGATAAATTTTGAAAGATATTGTTAACAATGCAATTTTGTTATGATAAACTTCAAAGGATATTGTTAACAGGGCAAAATTAATTAAAATTGTTGTAATAAACTTCTGAAGGATATCATTGACAGTGCAATGTCAATTAAAATTGCTACGATAAATTTCGAAAGACATTATTAACAATATAATGTCAATTAAAATTGTTGCGATAAACTTCGAAGGATATTATTGACAGTGCAATGTCAATTAAAATTGTTGCGATAAACTTTAAAGGATATTATTGACAGTACAATGTTAATTAAATTGCTGCGATAAACTTCGAAAGACATTGTTAACAATACAATTTCAATTAAAATTGTTACGATAAACTTTGAAGAATATTGTTGAAAGTGTAATATCGATTAAAAATCACAGTGATATAAATACATATGATGATCATCAAAATGATATATTATAAATATCTAACATAAACAAAGGTTGTCAATACGAAATTACTACAAAAATGATAATATTTGCAAAATTTTGCACATGAAGATATTAAAATCGATAACCTTCGAAAGTTATCAATATGAATTTACTACGAAAACAATAATATTCATAAAATTTCACACATGAAAATATCAAAATCAATAATCTTCGAAGGTTATCGATATGAATTTATTATGAAAATGATGATATTGTAATTGTCTATTATGACATTGGTAATTTTAGGTCTTTACAATATATTTTGATTGGTGGAATTTCTTTAACAATGTATAAAAATAATACTCCATTGCGTTGATATCCGAAACCTAAAACCTTGATATGAACTAGGTACTAATTATCTATTTATTTATTTAGACCTCAATTTTCATACCAGTTTTCGCTTTTATCCGAACCAATTGATGATGATAAAAGTCTTTTGTATACTTTATCAACTACGCAAGGTAATCGTAGCAAATGTATTAATATAAAAGACACATATACAACTTTATTCAAAATCCCAACCAAAGGATATAGTTTTTTTGACCTTTATAATGGGCATGAAGGTAAATTTTTATTATATCAAATTCAATTGGTATGGATCAGATCATTAAAAAAAATTAATTGTCACTTAAGTGACTACGTTGTTAACTATTGTGCAAAAAATCTTCATAATATTTTATCATCTGAACTTGATGAACATGGCGATATTGAAAATGTTATAAAAATGACTATTTAAGGGTTAATGGTCAGTTGAAGAATGATGAGAATGGTACATTTTGCCTTTTTAAATATTATATAAATATAGTTTTTATTCTAATCAATTACAGAAATTAGTAGAGAAATTAGTAAAGAAACAGGGTTGTAAAGCAATAATAGTCATTGAATTCTCAGATTATTACTTATGTCTAATTGGTTTTTAGAATGATCATTTTTGAAAATTTGACTATGATTTTAAAAAACAACACATATCAATGTTACTCAAGTGTTTGTTTTATAAAGAAATTGACAGAACTTCTTATTCTTTTTATTATATAATAACTATTTGTTCTTGCTTCCTTTTTAACATTCAGAGACCAAATTAGAAATCAAAATTAAAACAAACCTCAAGAACGAACAATACGAAGATTCAACTTCACTATATATATATTTTTGGTAAACAATAGTTATGTGATGTTTATATAAAAATGTAATATTGACAATTTATTCTTTTTCAAAAATACAGTCGACCCCCCCATATAAGAACTCCCCTCTTATAAGCACACATTACTTGGTCCCCTATATATAAGAGCCTATATTAGAATTTCCTCGCTATAAGAATACTGAGGTGGCATGAAAACGTCCTAAACACGGCCAATGTTGTAAGTTAAAAGATTGATAAATGAATCATTTTGTGGTTGAGGAGGTAGTATTGAAAAAGGAATTTGTATTCTTTGATTAGTATCTAATAATCCTGGGCTTAAAAATGATTTTACGTAATCTAAGTTTTCTGGCACATCTTCCCATATGAAATCTACGGATAGAGACTATAAACAAGCAAAAAAAAAAAACAAGTAATTATATATATTAATATATTTATACTTATATATTGATATACGAAAAAAAGAAATATCACCTTCCAAAAATGTTTACAATTGTGATTTAGACAAATCCATAAATCTTCATATATCTTATTTGACAGAAGTCCACATTCTGGACAGACAATTGAAATCAATTCACCTATAAAGATTGCGTAATTTTCTATAGAATTCTTGATTTGGTAACCATTCAAATCGAAACATCCAACGAATAAACTTTGTTTTCCCATTTTCTCAACTCTTCATTTGATTTTCTTCGTGATTCTTTTCACTGAAATTTTCTCGATTGATAGATAAAACTGCTTCGATAACATTTTCCTCATTCTTAATTTTTCCTTCGTCCGCAGGTATACAATAATATTCATATTCTGGCTGAAAATTGATAATTGAAAGTGCATTTGAACATATATACGAACACAAACATGTGTAATAAGATATAATCTGAAAGAAAAATTTGTTAAAAGTGAGTTTTCTTAAAGACTATTGAATTCTTTAAAAAGAATTCCTAACTCACCCAAGAATACAATAACACGCTGGAATTCTAAATTCAGCGCGCTTTTTGTTCCCCACGATTAATGCCAATGGTTGATTATTCATATAATTTTTCATCAAAGATCGTATAGATACATCCGTTAACATTTGCGACGCAGCAAGGCCTCAACTTCCATCCGTGCGTTTATAGCTTTTCCCACCGCTAAATAATATTAGTATTTAGAATAGTATATTGATTTTCATTTATTTTATGGACTGTAATATAATCTCGGATTAAAAAAAATACCCATGGGAAATTATTACACATCCATTACAAACGTCACGTAAGGCACCAAACCCATCCAATAAGTATCCCCAAACTACACCATTCTTATAGTAAATACCACCATTCCATGATTTAAAGTATGGGACTGTTTCGCACAATTCTTGACATGTCTGTAATTGAAATCAGTTAAATAATAAGAGTACATTAAAATTAAGATTTATCGTACAATACCATTGCCCAAACTTTCGGTCTATTGATATTTGCGTTAGAATTACTACGAATATCATTATCAAAGGTCAATTTGTGTTTAGAGAAAAAAACTTTTTCTCTGATAAAATTTGTCATAACATTACTACGATTGATTATTTAGTTACTTATAATATAACAAAGAAATTTTTTTTTTTTGTTTAGAAAAGGCTAATTATTATATCTTTTTTTTGCGTAATTAACAAATATCTATTATTCGATCGAATTAGAAAACGATAAAATTAAATTGTGAGAATTTAATCTGATGATATAAAAACATTTGATGAATCTGTTTTCTCATTCTGTTATAAATTATGAATCTCTTCATTTATTGTTTTGGTAGAACTCTAGTCTATTGTTTACCGATTTTATGCCTTTCACAATTGCTGACCATAATAGATTACGAAATATATTGTTTTAGGTTTGTAAATAATTCAAGATAAATATTTCGATTTTAATACAGTTAACAATGTTAACAATCATTCACTGCTACCTGGTGTACATCCTCGTTCAAAATATACCATATTCGTTTCCCTCCATAATTAATTTCATCTTCAAATCTAAATAGCCAACATAACAATCGTCCCGTTGACTCTAATGCAATGCAATTAAAAATAGTGATTAGCCTATATTATTTTCTTTATTTGTATTAATCTTCATAAATTATACTTTGTTTTCTCCATTTTTATTTCGATGTAGGGAACTCGACAGAGTTAAATTGAGTATAGATGTTATAAAAGGATAAATTAAAATCGGCAAAAAAAAATAAGTTAATTTACTTAACATTAAATAAAGTAAATATTCTTCAAAAGAAAGTTTTGAAAACAATCTATTTCTTCTAACTGTAATTTGTTTCCAGCATCAGAAAAGAGTCGAAGGAATAAATAAAATTTCAAAACTGACAAATGAAATTATCCATTGAGAAAATACAAATCTGATGTAGTTGAAAGTGAATCAAATTTATTTTTACAAGGTTGGATAAAGGATAAAGAAAGAGAAATTAGTCATATCAAATAGAATCCAATAAAGAAAATCTCCCAAATATTAGCAATTCTCATCAAACACATAAAAAAGGTGCACCAAGAAGAGTGTATTATAAAATAAAAAGAATAATAAAGGAAAAGGAATGCGAATACTGATTTGCACAAAATGTCATGTATGTAATTTAATTTAACTTTATTTTAATTTATTATCATTTAACTTATTTTAATTTATTATAATTTAATTTTATTTTAATTTATTATCTTTTAACTTTATTTTAATTTATTATCGTTAATTTATTATATAGATTAAATAATTCTGAAAGTACAGTAGATTTTAATATACAATTTGAAAAGATGGTGATATACTCAAAACAGTAGTAATGTATTAGGCGAATCTCCTCAACATAGTATAGAAAAACTAAAAGAAAATGAGGGAAAATAGTCAAAAGTAAAAAAGAATTCAAATAAAAATTAAATTTTAGTAAGTCAAGCGGTAATAAAGATACTTTTACTCCACTTGCTCATCGTTAGTAAGCAGGTTTAGATCGACTGATTGCTTGATCTTACTGTGTTTCATGATATTGCGTACAAGAGAAAGTGTGTTAGTGATACATTGAATTATTGTGTGATTATCCTAAATTTATTAAGACTGATTTGCGTAACTTTTCACATTGTTCTGTGCAGACCGCGACACTATATAAAGGTCTGACTGTAAATTGATTCGTATTTTTTTTTTATTTAGAAAAGCCTAATTATTATATCTTTTTTTTGCATAATCAAATTAGAAAATGATGAAATTTGATAGTGAAAATTTAATATCATAAATCATGAATGCTTAATTCTAGATTTATTTATTAACTTAATATTTCTAATATATTTAGAATGCGAATTTTATTTCATGAAGTTTGATTATGTAGCTTTAAATATTGGTATGAAATTTGAAACAAAGTTTTGAGGGAAAGGAGGAAAGGTAAGAATTTTATTTTATTTTTTATTTTTTATTTCTTTACTAATTTTATTTTTTAATATTTACTCAAGTCTCACAGCTTTCAATTAAAATCTCAAATACCAAGGATTTAATTTATCAAAACTTTAAAACTAAATTTAGGTATTATTTGGTCAACACAACGTCAAACTCCCAATAATAAACTTTTTCAAACTCAGCAGATTAAATAAACAGGATATCATATACACTGAGTATTATAAAACTTTGATAGGTTCTTCACCTCATTATCTCATAGTTCATTTTATATATTTAATATTTTATTATTCTCTTTTTTTCAAATATCATAATGAAAATTTAAAAATGAAACATTCCAATTTTGAAGGCTTAACTCATAAATAATACTCATGAAAATCCCATGTCAAGTTTTCCTCCGATTTGACATTGTAATCGTAGTGATTGAACTATTGAACATTTGTTTTTGTTATTTTTTTTTTTGCAAGAATGAGTAATGTTGCATCATGTGTGCCAATATTGTACATTTTTTGTGAATTTTCTCTTTCTTTTTTGAATACAAGAAGATTAAATTGACGAACGATTTTTTGTTTCATTTCTATATTTTCTTCATCATAAATTTTTTTTTGAAATAAATCTTCAATTAAAGTACTATTTCCTCGAGGTTTATCACCATATACAAGTTCATAAGGAGTTTTTTTATGTGCTCGACGGTAGGATTGATTCATAGATAATACCAATCATTTCTAACTGTATTTTCTTTCCACTTTCCTAATTTTTGTTGTAAAATGCCATTTTCTCTTTCAACTAAACCTTGTGATTGAGGATGTTGTGGATGTCCATTAATTATTTTTACAGAAAGCCATAAAGAAATTAATTCTTTTATAACAGAAGCACAAAATTCTTTTCCATTATCAGATTGAAGAATTGTAGGAGGTGAACCCAAGAAATGAAAAAGATCAAATAAATAAGCTGCTACTTCAACAGCTCTTTTTGATGTTAAAGATTTAGCCCAAGAAAATCGTGTAAAATGATCACGAACATGACAAATATATTTATATTCTCCATCAGCATCATATGATAAATCAATTAAATCTATCTAAAAATATAAAATAAATTTTTAATAAATTATAATTATAAAAAAAAAAAATTAATACTGCATATAATAAAAAAAAATTAAATTTACCTGAACTCGTGACAAAAAATTTTTTGCAATAATTGGTTTTGCAGATAAAGGATGAAAAGATGGTTTTCTAACAGCACATATTGTACAATTATTAACTAATTCATCAATAATACTTTGTCTAATCGAACCCCATTTTGCTTTTATTGAAGTCCTTGTTTGTCTTTGTCCTCCATGTTGTGTAATTTCAGCATGAGTTTGACAAAAAGTTTCATACATATTTTCAATTGTCAATACTGGAAGAATGCTTTCTTTTACAAGTACTCTATAATCGCCAGGTGTTATTTCTTCTAATTTAAATTTTTCTTAGCCCAGACATGTGCATTTTTATTATAAAGATTATTATTTTTGGGGTTTAAAAGTATTTCTTTAATTTTATTATAAAGATCAGAATTAATTAGAGCTTTTTCTTGTTTAGATACTGGAAGATTTGTTATATATTGATCAATAATTTTATTAAAAGTTTCTCTACTAATAAAATTATATTCCATGGTGAGTTTTAAAAAAATTTTTGGTATATTGTCACGAAAAAAAATAATTTAAAGATCGCAGATCGCGAAATCGTAGATCGTGACACATTAACGCGCGACATTTGAGGTACCTCAAATTGATTATTGAAAAAATTCACATCACGCACATCAGGTGACAACTGAGTCAAGAAGACATCTGAGGCACAACATATATATTAGATATCAGATCTTTATGCAATATTGTTTATATCATAATCTCTTCGTCAGTATCACCGCTTACTTATCGTCATTGCATACTACAATATAAAGAGGAAACTTCTCGCAAATGGTTATGGCCACTCACCACCGCTTACATATCATCCTTATAAGTAGTGCAAGGAGAAAAATTCTCGCAAATGATTAACAGTCTGACGAGAAGTAGCTCAGTTTTTATTATCATCATATCTATAAAAAAAATAATTTAGTGATAGCATGTACCTTATCGATATCTTGTAATGATATTAGATATCACTTCCTATCACTATCTAAATTTTCTGCCATTAACTCGATTAAAATCTCTAAAAGACGGTTACAATCCGACTGTATGTCATTTCGTTTCCATAGTTCATGAAAAGCCCTAGAAATAGCAATCTTATTGAGTGATTCGTTTCTGAAAAAACTTTTTAAGGAGTCGATTCCGTCGTAAGAAGCCATTGTAAGTTATCGAAAAAATTTTGAGGAAATGGTTATATGTGAGAATTTATTCCATACAGATTGATAAAATGCACGTGCCAGTGGAAAAGCCACGAGCAGGGACGATTATTTTTTGTTGTGATATAATGTAAATTTTGTGTGTGATGTATTTAAATTATGTGCTTTATTGCGATTTTTTTTTTTTTGCGAATTTTGTGAGATTTTGTGCACTTTTTATAGATTTTGTGAGATTTTGTGACACTTTTTATAGATTTTGTGATATTATTTGATCGAAATTTATTGATTTGTTATTGAAAATTAATAGTCACGATTAAAATACATCATATTCAATTGTTTAAGTGATTCTTTTGTTAAATTCTGTCTATCCTTATCTAAAAGAGTATTATATAAAGAAAAACTACGTTCTACAGCACAACTAGAAATAGGTAACCAAATGTAATCCAATGCAATTTTAGAAAGGTTCAGTAATCTATTTGATAAATCATTCCAATATTTGTCCAAATCATTTTCATTATTAATATCAAATTCCAGTCCACAATAAATTCCCCATTCGTGTAATAAATCATCTGAAGGATTATCAAGTTCACTAATAATTGAATATTGATAAATATTGTGTCTTTGATTATTTCCTGTATGCATGTATTTGGGATCAAATAGACGTACTGCACGAAATAATGGACGTGTAGGATGATCGGGAATATGTGCTTCGAATTTTTTATATGCAGATTGAAATGCAGCTTGAAAAATTGAATAAAATTCAGATGGATTGAAATTTAAATTTGTTATAATTTCTTCAAGTTCTTCACCAAAATGAGTTGAAATCCGATTTGATTCGAGATAAGCCAAAAGATTTTTTAATCGTGTTTCTACATAAGGAAAAACAGGTTTTTTTTTGTTGTTGAAAAAAATCTAAATCTTTGATGAATGCTTTAGCATATATTGATATAAATTGTATATAAATTGTAATAAGTCTATATTGGTGACTATCTTGTAATATCAAATAAATTGCACTTATTGTTTCATTCCTTGAATCAATTTCGCTTTCTTTTTTGTAAAAATCCTGCCAATACTGAAGATGCTCTACCGTATAAAAAACCATTTTGAACCAGCTATTCCATCGAGTTTTATTTGGTAATGGGATTTTGCATGGTGATGCAACACCATTCATACGTAAGTGAGTTATATATCGGGCTTTTCTTGCAGGAGATTTGACAAAAGAATTTTTAATTTTTGCCAAAAAGGTTTTTATTAATGAAAATTGTGGGAAATCCTGCCAAGTTTCACTATTGTAAATTATTAGTAAAATTAATAAAACTAATTAATTGTATTTAATTAACAAAAATAAAAATTCTTATAATCTTACCCAATAAGGTTTAATATATGTGCTAAACATGGAAGATGAATTAATTGTGGCATAATTGGCTTTAGAACATCTCGATATGATTTTTCATATATGCTGCAGAATCTGAAAGAAATAGACGTGGGAAATTTAAAGGAATATTATAAAAATGTAATACCGAAAATAGTGTTTGTGCAATAGTTGAATTATTGACTTGTTCTAAAAAATCAACTGATACTAATTTTGTATGTGTTCGAAAAACAAAAAGGGTATTGACTACACTTCGCGCACAATCATCACTAGTTTTATCCATAATTATAGAAATTGGTTTTGAATCAAAAAATAATTTTAAATTTTCTTGATGCTTATTAAAAACTTTTGGCAAATAATTTGACGTAAAGTTGAAGCTTGAGGAATGGCACCACCTTCTTTAAGATGTTTTTTAAAAAAGAGAAGTAACAAATTAATTTTTTCTAAGGGAATATCTGCATTAGCAAATGCTTCAATTAAATCTTCTATAACTATTTTTTTTGATTCAGATGCTTGTAAATTTCGTTCTAACGTTTGTTGATTTTTTTTTTTTTCATTTAATTCAAAATTTTTTTGTTGGGAAAGATATTTTTTGCTTGTACAATGTGCATCTATTGTAGATTTATGTTTCCATTCTACTGAAAGATCACAATAGTTACAAAAAAGTAGGCCATTATCAACATGAAATATATTTTCGTACTCTTTAACTCGTGAAAAAACTGTTACTGAACTTGTTTTTGGCCATTTACGGGGCATTTATAATTAAAGTATGATTTACGATCTTTTTATTTTTAATCAATCTATATTAAAATTACTGCGGATTATATATTTTATTGTGCATAATTGTGCATATTAATATAAATTTGTGAAATTTTGTAGTGATAATACAAAAATTTGTGATTATCACAAAATTTTGTGCTTTATGTGATATTTTGTGGAATGCCAAATATCATTGTCCCTGGCCACGAGGTATCTATCGAATTTGGGTTTATTGTAACTTACACAAATAATTTATGCATGCAGAATTCCATATTACCAGTTGGTCGAATTTCTCTGTATAGAATTTTTGTAGATCAAGTTATGGTCCACAAGTACGAAATGTTACATTGTATAACCAGTCACAACTTTATTGACATACAATAAAAATTTTCATGTGAATTTCCAATTATTTCCTGCACACGATGTTTTTATTATCAGGCTCAAAAAACAGAATCACTAAAAGTGATAGGTAATAATAAATCGCTATACTGCCCTTTAAAACGTTTTCGCATTTTCTCTTTCTGGTATTTGAAGTCTGAAATAGTGGATTCTGGAAAGTAGAGATGTGTGTTAATGCATGAAAATTATTTCACAAAGAACGTACCATGTGGTAATTTATAAAATTTATTGTTACTCTATGAGTTCACACAAAGTAATAGTTCAGCCTTTAGAATTAATAAACAATTGCATAATACAAATGGTCTCTGACTACTACTTCTATTACAGTGAATTTAATGCATAATGATTTGTTACGTAAAGCTCAGCAGAGTAAATATGGTGTCACGACAGACTCAAACGCCGTTCAGGTTTATTGAAGCGTTTAAAAAGGAAAAAACATTTAACTTGAGCAAAATCTGCAGAGTACATTTACGCCATGCATATAAATTCGAAATATTGCAATTCTATTTCTTTCGACAATGGAAGTGTTTAAACTTCTGAATCCTATCGAAGTATTTAATAAAAGAGAAATCTCTTTATTGAATCTCGAATTTTTCGATCTAACAAAAGATAAACTCTTCGCACATCTCGTTATTGAACTTAGGATTCGTGAAATCTGGGGATTCAAAAAAATATGTTTTTATGATTTTGAAAAGGATTTCAATTCAATCGAAGAAGAAAACAAAAAGATTGAATTCATTCAAAATAATCTTAAAAATTTTTTTCCAGAAAATCACGAAAGAAAAGATCTTGCAAAACTTGAAAAAATTAAATTTTCTCTATTTTTGAATAAAAATTTTGGACATTGGAAGCCAGATAAAAATAATAAAAATGAGCTCACAAATTATAATAGAAAGAAAATTCAACTTGAAAAAATTAAAGTACTTCATAATCTTCTTGGATTTTACTTGCCATTTTTCCCTATATTGTGGAGTAACTTATATTCAAGAAAAAAAGGTAATAATTTTTTTTAATTATTATCTTTATTGATAATAATACTAACAACATATTTTTTAGAATCATCTTTTAATACATTAGTAGAACATATGAAAATGAAAATAACGAATAGTGTTGCTGAAAATTTATCAACATATCCAACATATCCTCCGGATATAGAGAATCTTATTTCTACTCATCAAAACGCATTTAAAATTTTTGATAAAAATGTTGATTTTAAATATATTGCTGCTATGATAGTTAAGTTAAGGGAGAATAAGTTTTGGGGATTTGAAAAAATCAGCTGTGAAGATATCGTATCTAATTATAATAATATGGATGATGCTCAAAAAAATTTATTTATTCAAAATTCTACTAAAGAATATTTTTCGAAAGGTAGCAAAGAAACAACTGTTAACTTTGATAAACTTGGAAAATTGAAATTTTGCCTCTTTTTACATGACCAACGGGAGAACTTAAAAAAAGAAAACATGTCAAAAAATGAAAAAAGAAATTTTGATATATCAAAAAAGGTTTATAATTTAAACGAATATCTTGGTGAATATCTTCGAATATTTCCCGTTCCATTTCATCATATGGATGATTTTTCTGCCATAAGTAAGTCAATATTAAATTTTTAAATTAATTCTGTTCTTAGCTGATAATCCATTTATATTATAGGAAGAACCCAATTTGATGACTTTATCAAAGTCATAAGTCAACGACAATAGCAAAATAATTATTTATTAGATAAAATCAAAATTTTTCTAAAAATAAATTTAAGAGTTCTAAACTTATACCATCTAATGGTCGATTATATATAGGTATTCTTGCAAATTAATTTATATAGTGAAAAATTCACGTGATTTAACAATTTCATATGAATTTTTACCCCTTATAAGGTAACCGTGTCACATTTATAAATATCCCAATTTTATATTTTAATGCTATATTTTCCTGTCAATTTATAAGGATCTTGCAATAAAAAATACCCGTCATGTCATATATTATTATAAAGACCATACCTTCGAATACATATTAAAAAATAATTTTTCTTTATTTCTCTAATATATGTATGATAGTGTTACAAAAAGATAATGTAAGGAGGCGAGGGGTAGAAAGGCAAGAAAATAATTTTTTATAATTATAAATAGAGCTTATTTTTTAAAGGATTGTCGTAAGTCATGACTGTTGTGACTGCAGTAGTAAGACGTGTAAGACGTTATGGCAAGCCAAACATGACAAAAGTTGGGAGATAAATCACACATGTATGTGAGGTTTAACCCTGATGTATCGGTGATAAAATCACAGAAAAATTCTATCACTGATAAAGTCACATTTTAAAAAAGAATTCGCTTGTGATTTATGAAACGTAGAACGATTTTCTACTAAGATATTTTTAAGATAAAAAGAAAGGCCTTGTCTTTGGCTACAAAACGGTATATGTTTCATTCCGGTAGCATCGATATTCGCGGAATTATTATAGTTTAAAGAAAAACGTCCGTGAAAATCATGCACAAATTTTCGTACGATATTTTTCACGGACGTTTTTCTTTAAACTGAAATAACTCCGCGAATATCGATGCTACCGGGATGAAAAACATACCATTTTGTAACCAAGAATAAGGCCTTTCTTTCTATCTTAGAAATACATTAGTAGAAAATCGCTCTACGCTTTATAAATCGCGAAAAACTTAAAGAAAACATTAAAATTTCTGGAGATTTTCACCAGTTTTTTACATTTTCTCAACTTCGCTCGCGATTTATAAAGCGTAGAGCGATTTTCTACTAAGGTATTTCTAAGATAAAAAGAAAGGGCTTATTCTTGGCTACAAAATGGTACGTGTTTCATCCCGGTAGCATCGATATTCGCGGAGATATTCGCGTTTAAAGTTGAACGTCCGTGAAAATTTCCGTCATAAATTTTCCATAATTTTTCATAATTCTGGCCAGAATTACGAAAATTTATGACGGAAATTTTTCACGGACGTTCAACTTTAAACGCGAATATCTCCGCGAATATCGATGCTACCGGGATGAAACACATACCATTTTGTAGCCAAGAATATGAAAGAGATCAAATTTTCCAATTCTAAATTATATAAATGATTGATCTAAATATAAAATACAATTAATTATTAAATAAGTTAATTAAAATAATAAAATATATTTTTATATAATAAATATACCTGGATATTCCTGTGTATCGTCCACTCTTTTAATTCTGGTATTTTATTGAGATTATTTTCATTATCTTGTATTTTTTCAACCATATTACTTATGGTTTTATTTGTTTCTTGTAATAAAGTATTATAGCAGATCTAGTAAGTTTGCTTAATTATTTTATTAATGCCAATATTAAAAAGATAATAAAAATAATTCAACAAAAAAAATTTTATTTTCTAAATATTATATTTTATTCTTGTATGTTTTTTGTCAATGGTCATGCTACAATTAATTTTAATATTAATCCTTGTGAGCACATCCAAAAGTAATTGTTAATTAAGAGTTCGAATGTACGTAAGACTCTGACTATCTTTTTTTTCTAATTAATAAAAGAGTACGTGTATGGTAATTGTCAACTTTTAACAACAGTACATGTTCAATTCAAGTTTATTTAAAGAAACATTACCGATTACATATCTGCTGAGTGAATACTCATTACGAATTTACGAATATACAGTATCTAAAACAGTAATGTGTTCAAGAACACAAAGTCAGATGGAAAAAAAAATGTTGCAAAGTATTTTCTAAAGATTATTCGTCAGATGATATATTTGATACTTAAATTATACTATTTACAATTTTGCTATATACTGTATATTAGATGTTGCAAATTTTTAAGAAGTAAAAACTATTTATAATTAAATCTGCCGAGTACGAAGTATTATTATACCAAAATTTGCCTTTGCATGCATGACTTAAATTAATATAGCAGTTTCAAACACGATTGTTAAGGGATTATCGAAATGCAGGTGTTATTATATAAATAATAAAAAAGGCTGTCACCCGACTCGCTTCCCCTGAAAGGAAACCCATTGTATGCAACACCACTGCTGACTAAAATTTTGCAGATTCTGTATCAAGGAATCACAAAATTCATTTATTATTGTCCTACCAATTTTAAATTATTAATAACTTTTCCATATGAATGTTATTCAATTTAAAATGCTTTGTGTATACTAATTAATCTGCCGAGTACGAAATGTTATTATACTAAAATTGTTTTGCATCGCATAAATAAGTATCGCAGTATCCAAACAAGGTTACTATCTATTATTCGAAATCCTGTCAAACGGGTAGCATCTAAACAGTTATGATTGAAAATGGATAAATTAAAAGATAATTCGTTTTAATGAACAACTATTAATTCTGGTGAGGTGTAACAAAATTCAAAATTCAATTGTATCTGATATTATATTTCTCGTTTGAAAATTTTCTTAAAATCTTTAAACTTGTTATTATCACCATATCCTTCTTATTAACTTTTTTGCAATAAACAATTATGTAAACAGACTTTCACGTCACGCAAGTAAGTATACCAACTAGTTAATCTGCTGTTACGTTCTTCAAATTAATAGAATTATTAAAAATTGATTAAGTGGCATATTTAGATTAGCTGTGCATTGATATTTGGTTAACGCCAAACTTCCAATTATAGTAGAAATTTATTTATATTGTCAAATATTCATTTGGTAGATATGTAAGGTTACGCTTTATTCTTATGATAATCCTTTCTTTTATTTAACGTTTTTTTGACTAAGCAAAGGCATTATTCTATTTTTTATTTACAAAAATTGCATACCTCTATTTTTAGTATTTTTATATAGGAATTTAACGTTAACCAAATAATACATATTTTTGTAAGTATGTAACCAGCGATGCCGTTACTCGGCAGATTAATTATTCGTATATCATCATATTCACTTGACTTGATATCCTGTTTATTAAGTTTATAGTATAAGCATAATCTTACATATCTAATGTCGTTTATAACATTAATCTGCTGAGTTTTTTGAAAGAGACTATTACGTATTGGGAGTTTGCGTTATGTTGATCAAATAATATATATGTTTGTATGAGTAATTTAATTAGATTTCTGTTTACAAAATAAATATGCATTTAATCAACTGATTCACTTGAGATTTTTTAAATTGAAAGCTATGAGTCTTGAGATAAAATTTCTATGTATATTCAAACTCTTAACTAAAAAACAGTTGCATTCTTTTTTTTTTCAAACAAATTGTTCATATCTATTTTAGAACAATTACTTTCGGATGGGCTCACAAGGATTAATTTTAAAGTTATTTTTTAAATATTGGCATTAATAAAATAATATGAATAATATGTTACTTGAAATACGAGATTGATAATTAGTTAGGAACTACTATATTATGATTAGATTTTACTTTTCGAGCTCGAATTTTAATTAAAAGAAATGATAATTGTAAAATAATAAAAGTTTCTGCAGATAATTTATCTAAGCATTAGATTTGTAGATTATGCTTACTAGATCTGAAATCTTTGATACCATGTATTATAAAGGCTGGCACTGACGCATTGAGTTACTTTATCCAAATATGCGCAACATATTTATATATGTTTATATTTAAAAGTTCAATGTATGCGTGTTAGGAAAGATTTTACAAAAAGGATTTTTTTTTTTATATAAAGACTGTTTAGAAGCTATTTCTTTTAAAAAAATGTGATATCTCTATCTTATTCGGCAATTGAAGTCCTGATTTCAATACTCATGACTTTAAGTTTTGTAACCTGCATACATATTTACTCTGTTTATTAAAAAATAACGCCAAACTCACATTTCAAAAACTCGGCTAATTAATAATACATCAAAGTTAAAATAGTGAGTGCAGAATCTAACCATAAAGTAGTTCCATAAAGAAATTTCTTCAGAATATTCTCTGCGTGAAACATATCCAATATCTGAAGTAAGTTGTATACTTCTTTTTTTCAATTTAACCTGTTTATTATGTCTATTTAGAAGTATTTCAAAATTTTATTTAAGACCTTAACTTTTGAACTGAGTGTCAAGAATTCATCTTTAGATTTTCTCAATTACAAATTACAAAAAAAAATGTCTAATTTTGATAGTTTTGTCCTTTTCTTTCTATTTGCACAACCACTCTTATTCATTCTTTCATATAAAATTTCGCATAAAATTTCAAAATTATTTGATGAGTTTACGAAGACCATTACTATAGTAAGTTTTTTTTAATTTTGCTTTAAATTCTAATATCTAAATTCTAATCTTTATTTCAATTACAGTTATCGTCATCTATTATTACAATAGAAATATTACTCATTAAGTATTAATCGAATGAAATTGATATAGCCATAATCGATTATTCGATTATTCTTAAAAAAGAAGCTTACCATTAATTTCTAAATTTGTTCGCAATTATTTCGGAGATATTACGTTACGCCCATTTCGAATTATATAAATACTGAGTTAATGTAAAATGGAGAGACAAACATACTATGCAAGATTATAATAAAAAATGATGTACAACGCAATAGCAAATATATATTATTCGTAATTTCGTTATGAATAAACTTGCTATATTATAAAGCTAATGCATAATATAATAGATACTGTGATTTTCACATTATATATGTTATTCAAGTATCGTTTTATTTAAAAATTACCCGTGCATATTTTTTGATTTTTGTACTTAAGAACAAAGTTAAAATTATGCACGCAAAGATAAATAATTGTATTATAACAATAATAAGCTCGCAGGTCTAAAGAGTATACATAATATAACGTCCTTTTGTATATTAATGCTTTTGGAATAATGTGTGCAGTAAAAGATTCTTATTAGCTTAGACCAAAAGGAATCTGCCGAAGCCTGCTAGAAATCTGATTTTAAATTTAGGTGGTTTTTTTCCAGTTTGATTTTCCATTTCTACTAAAAGCTCATTTAAATACCAGTTCACTTTTTCTTTTACTTATGAAAACTGGAATCTAGCTGAAAAGCATATTGAGAAGTATGCTACAGAAATTGGGTTTGTAGTTATAAAATGCAATCATTCACATAAACATCAACCAAAAAGAAAAGCTAGTATAGAAAATAATTATGAACGTGAAGGTGCAAGAGTAGGATGTGCCCATGGAAAATTAATCTTTACCGTTTTGGTAATACGACGGTTTACAACCATCCATTACTTAATAATATTATAAATATGATACCTAAGAAAATTTCTGACAATTAGGGTCTCAAAAATTCGTTCTTAAAATCTTTAGAATTATGAAGAAATTAGAGAATAGATAAATTAATGAAGAGTTAAGGATTATATTTTTTTGTTCCTATAGATTTTATTAATATAAAACTTGCAAATATTTATACTTTAAATATTATACATTTATTGAAACTGACTAAAAACATTATTATTTTATTGTCTGATCATTATTACCTAAGAACTGATGGTCAAAATCCTATCAAAGAGATTAACAATAGCTCAAATAATTTTATTTGGGCCAACTGTAGATAAAGAGAAGAGATTATCAAAATAGAGGGTCTGGAAGAAAGAAATCAAAAATAATTAGGATGAATATAGACTTGATTAAATAATTCTTGTAGGAATAGATTAAATGTAATCATTCATCTAACTAGGATCCTGTGATATGGATCAAAATCATGACTGTCTTAGTGTCAAATTATATTCGCCTCTTTTATCACTTTATGATAATATATTTCATATTATTAATAAAAAAAAATATTCTGAGATTGAGTTTTCAATATTCAATATTCATTATGTATGTATATTATATAACATAATGATTTGCAACAGAAAATATTTTATTGAAATTGAAATGTGAAATAATGACGTCATTAGCAAATAACGAGTGAAACTGTGAAACTTTGAGATTGAGTGAAACGAAGCATGTGATCGTCCATATTAATTTATTTTTATTTATTTATTTTATTTATTTATTTATTTCAATTCCTGATGCAACTTTGTAGATTTATTTCTTTGAGGATCAGCCGTGATACATTAATTACTTCCATATAATCGTGAGTACTTTATGTGATAACTTTTACATAACCAAATTCTTCTATCAATATTCTATAGATGCTATATATAATTACTTTACTATAGTTTACTTTGGCTGTTCTTTGCATGAAAATGTACTACTTGGTTATATTCTGGTGATCTTGAGATAAGAGTTAGTTTATTGTTATTTAAATATCATTCCCGGTTTTTCCGAATGTATTATACTGTATATAGTTTTAAATATTATTTTTTATTGATTCTTTAATTTGTCCCTTACAATTTTATTTAAAAAAGTTCAAGTATTTTGTATTCAGAAGAATGCTTCAATCAAAATAAAGCGCGATTAGAAATGAAACCTTTTTTTGCTGCATTCGCGTTATCGGTTCACTAATATTGTCACAATCGCGTCTATTAATTTTCTGTGCAATTTTACATGCTATATATTTTATTTTCAAAAAAAAAAACGATAATCACGGAAAAAATTTATCTTAATTAATATAATCTGTGCCATTTTCCATTTCATATATAGAACTAACTTATACACGACACGTAAAATTTTCGTGATTTCGTAAAAAATTACAACTTGGGATATCATTATCGTATCGATCTAATCAAAATATGCACGAAATTTAATAATTCAATGTATTAGCTCATTCGATATTTATTTTGAAATATATAAACATATATATCTTTAATATGTACAAAAATATGTAATAAATTGATCAAATTGTGATCTTCTCTTCCTTTCTTTTATTACAATATTATTGGTTTTTTCAGTACTTAACGAGAGTCATTTGACTACCTCACTTCCTATTAGTGAATTTTAGTAATTTATGTGACCGAACTTATATACCATTGTAAGTTAAATTATGAAATTTTTGTTTAATTCACTTGTTAATTTGTTATCTAGCTTAAATTTTACACAAATTTTATAAAAAGCAGGTTATATTAAACACAAAAAACACAACTTAAAACAATCCTATATTTTCTTGATTTGTATTTAAGTATAAATACGTTGAGTTTTGAATTTTGTAGTTCTGGCTCTTCTCTTTGAACCAGAGCAACAAATCATAATAAACAAACTAATCACATATGGTTTAAAAATTATTATTTGTGAATTAACTTATTATTATAATTTAGTGATAAAAAATAAATAACTCCTTTCTTTGAACAAAAATTACAATTTTAATTAAATATGTCACTTAATATTAATTACCAAAACATTAAAGTACCTTTTCCTCCAACCATTAGTGTAGATGAAATCGTAAATATTCATTTGAAAAATGGTATTGAAAACGGCAATAAAACCATGAATGCATTTATGATTTATCGAAAAGAATATAATAATATAGTTGCAAAATTTAATCTTTCAAGAAAGATGTATCGAAATTTGTCAGCATTTCATGGCAAAATGAGCCAGATGAATTCAAATAATTTTACCAACATATGGCAAAAAATGTGAAAGATTGTTTCAAAAAAAAGTTCCTTCTCATTTTTTTTTATCAATAGCTATCACGTCTCTTCAGGTACTGTTAATCCTTCATTTCTTAATACTAATCACAACAATCCTCAAAAATTTCTAAATGATCTGCCACCTTCAAATATAGACCAAAACGCTGATCAACTACACTACTTCATAATATAGAACAAAACTCTCTGGATTTTACCTATTTGGACCAAAATGCTGACTGTTCACTTGAAAATGATACTTATGTGTATCTGACTATGGATGATGATGAACTTATGAATCATCTTTCTGAAGATATGGCATTAACTTATAAGGCAATCATTCAATCGTTACCATTTTGAATGGTATAATCGTCAATTTATATTTTGCAAAACCCAACTTTATATCTATGCTAGTTATTTAATTAATTACATATAATAATTTTTTTTTTTATTAGTGACATTGTTCTGAATAAATTTAAAAGTGTGTTCTACAAACCTTATTGTTTTCTTTATTTAAATATAACTTTTAGTTCATGCAAATTTTCAGATACAATATATATAAGAATTATATGAATATCTCTATATATAAATTTTTTGTTCAAAACAATAAACTTTTTTTTAAATAAAAATCTATTTATCGATTTTAACTTTGTGATTCATTGTTTCAATAATAACGCAATTTCATCATATTTGTTAGACAAAACAATGATAACATTGGGCTCATTATGTTCCGTCTACAGCACTAAAAATTATTATTTTACATAATTTTTCCTATAACAGAAGAAAATTTATTGGTTCTAAAGAAGCATTGATATGATCTATAATCATAATAAAAAAAATTTTTTATTTTTTTATTTGTCCAAATATAGAATTTGTAAAAATTAATACATAATTTAGTTATTATGAATAAAAAAAAATATTAAAATTTATTCCTAATACATATTTAAACATAAAAATATTCATACAATGTTTATACCTAAAGTTCTATTTTTTACTAAAAAAGCGCATTGTAGTAAATGGCCATGACTCGGCATATTTGAATCATTAAAATGGTAACGATTGAACGATTGCCTTATAAGTTAATTCCATATCTTCAGAAAGATGGTTCATAAGGTACACATAAATATCATTTTCAAAATTATCAGAAACGATTGGATGAGAGTCTTGTTCTATATTAATAAGTAAACAACTAGAATTTTGGTCAAAATAGGTGAATTCTATATTATTCATTAAAAAATTTTATTCAAATATAAAGAATTTCTATAGTTACAAAAATGCTTTCAAAATTTATTGAAAAAATTCTTTGAATTTTATCTCTTGATTTCTTATCGTATGTTTTAACGGTTGCGATAATTTTTTTTTATTTGTTCCAAATTGAAATTTAATATTTTATCCTTTATATTTATATTTTTGCATTATTATTAGTTATTATACTTTAGAAGAAAGAGATATCGGAAAATATTTGGATATTCCTCGACTTAGTACAGCCACTGCATTGTTCCTTTTGGGGATTTATGATTCATTAAAACGTCTTAAAAGCCGAATTTATGTTGGTATGTCAATAACCCTCTCGGTCATGATGCAATTACATGAAAAAAATGCATCAATGTTACAATGACCAGATAAATATAAACAAATAAACAAATAAACAAATAGTTAATCTACTGAGGTTCAACTTATTTAATTAAAATAAAAGTAATACAAATATTTTTTCTTAATTGGAAATCCTTCTGATATGATGCTTATTTTAGAATCAATAAAGTTTCTTCTGTTATAGGAAAATTATTTAAGATAATAATAAGCATCATATTTTTCGTATCGGATTAAAATTGTCTAACAAATAATATTATTCATGCTTTGCTATGTTATTATTAATTTTTTTTTATATCATGATAAAATTAATTCGATAAATAAATTTTTATTTAAACGAAAGTTTATTGTTTTTGACCCAAAAATTTATAAATAGAGATATTCATATAATGTTCTGTATATATTATCCTATAGGGATATTCATATATATTGTTCATATAATGTCCTGTATATATATGCCTGAAAATTTACATTACTAAAGTTATAATTCAATAAAAAACAATAAAGTACTATTTATTTTATCCTTTTTAATGTAAGAACAATGACACCAATGAAAAAATAATGTAATTAAATAACTAGTATATATATAAAGTCAGGATTTCGCAGAAAAATAAATCGACGATATATTATTTAAATGGTAACGATTGAATAATTGTTTTATAAGTTAATGCCAAATCTTCAGAAAGATGGTTCACGAATTCGTCATCACCCATAGTCATATATTCATGAAGATAATTTTTGAAATTGTTGATTGGAAATAGATGATCAACATCTTGGCCCGTATTTGAAGATGGAAAATTAAAATAGGTGGAATCTAGATAGTTTTGTTCCATATCAAGGAGTGGATGGTAAGCGTTTTGGTCAGCGTTTGAAGGTGGTAGATTAAAATAGGCAGAAATTGGAAAGTTTTGAGGAGAATCATTGAGAAATTTTTGATTATGATTTAGAGATGGAGGAAAGTTTTGTGGAGAATCATTGAGAAATTTTTGATTATGATTTAGAGATGGAGGAAAGTTTTGATTCGTATCAGGAAGTGAAGGATTAACTGTATCTAAAGGGACGTGATTATCATTTGTTCTATCTACTTGATTGCTATTGATAAAACAAAGAGAAGGAACTTTTTCTTTGAAACATTTTTTTACATTTCTTGCCATCTGTCGGTAATAGTCTTTGACATCTTTGGGTTCATTTTCCCATGAAGTTTTAGCAAATTTGGATACATCTTTACTTGAAAGATTCAACTTTGCAACTACATTATTATATTCTTTTCGATAAATCATGAATGCGTTCATAGTTTTATTAACATTCTTAATTCCATTTTTTAAATGGATTTTTACGATTTCATCTACACTAATAGTTGAAGGACATGGTACTTTTATGATATTTACAATATTTTGGTAATTAATAAGTATCATATTTAATTAAAATTGTATTTTTGTTCAAGAAGGGAGATTATTTATTCAAAAATTTTTCACTATATTATGATAAATTAATTTTAAATAATATTATGTGATTTTATTTATTATCAGTTTCAACGAGGTCGAGGAGAGCCTGAATTTTGAAATTCAAAAATACGACGTATTTATAATTAAATAACAAATCTTGAAATATATTATTACTTTAAAGCGATTAATCGGATTAATCGCAAAATAACTGATTTACTATTACTTTTAAGCGATTAATTGAATTAATCGCAACATAAATAATATTACTTTTAATCGATTAACTGATTTACTATTACTTTTAAGCGATTAATCGGATTAACTGTACTGTTATTATTTATGTTGTATAATACATGGTTTTTCGGTTAAATAATGCTAATTTTTCGGTTAAATAAAGTTGTTAAAAAAATACAATGTAACCTTTCTTAAAATACAATGTAACCTTTCTTAAAATACAATGTAACCTTTCTTAAAATACAATGTAACCTTTCTTAATCCAAATAAATTATTAAACTTTTTTTTTAAAAAAAAATACAGTTATAAGTTATAATTATAGGAATTGTATTAAAATTTCAATATACAATATTTTGTAGTTACAATAATTTTATTAAAATCTAAATCGGAAACCTTATTAACTTTTATGAACAATATCAAACTGTTAATCTTTGTAACCCACATTATTTATTATTCCCAATAAAAAAGTATATATTTTTTGAGTTAATAATATATAATTTGAAATACATGAAAACGCGGGCGCAGGTTCATTCCTATCTGCACTTTATTTTGATTGAAGAATTCTTCTGAATACAGAATCTTAGATAAAATTGTAAGGGACAAACTAAAAGAACCAAATAAAAAATCAAATATTCATTAAATTTTATACGCTATATTTTTATTTCAAAAAAAATTTTTACATAAAAAATAAGAAAATCTTTATTTAGCAAGATTAAAAAAGTAATACGAAAAAAATTTATCTTATTAATTTTATCTGTGCCATTCATATAGAATACTAATTTATACACGACACGTAAAATTTTCGTGATTTCGTCAAAAAATTAGCTCATTCGATATTGAACTTTGAAATATTATAAACATATATACATAAGATATCAGATATAAAAATATGTAATCTTAAATTACCCAATTGTGAAAATTGTGATCTTCTCGATATTATCAGTTCTTAACAAAAGAAGTTTGACTGCTTCATTTCCTATTAGTGAATTTAATAAATTATGTAATTTATGTAATTTACGGGAGTAAACTTATAGACCATTATAAGTTAAATTATGAAAATTTGTTTAATTCGCTCATTAATTTATATCTAGATTGAATTCATTTTAATAACATTATGTAATTAATATTTGCGAAACCGTATTTTTTCTCATATTACTAACAATTACTTCGGTTATTTATTGGTATTTATTACTCCGAATATAACGATATTATTATTGCAGCATTTTTAATGTATATGAATTTATTCAAAAAAAAAAACAAATATACAGTACCTATAGTACCATGAGGCAAAAGATCAATGTGATTATTTGATTTTCCTCAATTGTTGTTATTCCTGAATCTGCATTGTCCCATATAAATATCTCTACTTTTGATAATATTATAACTGTATGACATATCTCGACTATATAACCTGCGTAACATATCTCTACTATACATGCTCCTTTTCTTGATTTTATTTAATTATTAATAAGTCGAATTTTTGAATTCCGCAATTTTTGTTTTCCTTTTTGAACCCGAATAATAAATTATAATAAATAAAATCACAAAGAATTTTATTATTTAATTTAATCTATTATAATTTAGTGAAACAAAAAATTTAAATAAATAATCTCCCTTCACGATCAAAAAGAGTTCTTATTTAAATATGTCTCTTTTTACTAACTAAAGTCCCATTTCCCCAACTATTAGTGTAGATGAAATCGTAAAAATTCATTTAAAAAATGGAATTAAGAATGTAATAAAACTCTGAATGCATTCATGATTTATCGAAAAGAATATAATAATGTGGTTGCAAAGTTGAATCTTTCAAGTAAAGATGTATCCAAATTTGCTAAAACTTCATGGGAAAATGAACCCAAAGATGTCAAAGACTATTACCGACAGATGGCAAGAAATGTAAAAAAATGTTTCAAAGATATTTATTTTTACTAATTCTTTATTTGAGCAAATAAAAGAAAATAAAAAATAATTTTTTATTATGATAATAAGTCAGTTCTTCTGTTATAGGAAGCGCATGTTTTTATAATCTATCATTGTTTTGTCTAACAATATGATTAGAATGTTATTCACGCTTTACTGACAAAATTGAAAAAAATGATTTTTTTATATCATAATAAAGTTAATTTGATAAATAGATTTTTATTTAAACGAAATTTATTGTTTTTGACCCATATGTAAAAATGTTTATATACTGTAATGTACTCTATAAATTTTCTTAAAGTTATAATTCAATAAAGAAGACAATAAGTTTTGTAGAATCACTATTTATTTATTCTATCCTCTTTAATATTGACATAAATGAAAAAAATATTATTATGTAATTAAATAACTAGGTATAGAGTCAACGCAAAATATAAATTGACGATTATAAATTACGATTATAAATTCGTCCTCATCCATAAAGATCATTTTTAAAATTGCCAGATACGATGGTCAGCATTTCGGTCCGTATTTGAAGGTGGAAGATTAAAATAAAAATAGATATCATCTAGAGAGTTTGGTCTATATTCATATATGGAGAATTATCCGTCGGTAATAGTTTTTGACATCTTCTGCTCATCTTTCATAAATTTTTAGCAAATTTAGATATATCTTTACTTGAAAGATTCAACTTTGCAACCATATGATTATATTCTTTTCGATAAGTCATGAATGCGTTTATAGTTTTATTAACATTCTTAATGCCATTTTTTAAATGAATTTCTACGATTTCATCTACATTAATGGTTGGAGAAATGGGGCTTTCACTATGTTTCTAACATTTTGGTAGTTGGTAGAAAGAAACATATTTAAATAAGAACTCTTTTTGTTCGTGAAGGGAGATTATTTATTTAAAATTTTTTTTTCATTAAATTATAATAAGTTAATTTAATTAATAAATTTAAAATTATATGTGATTTTATTTATTATTCGGGTTCAAAGAGGAGAGCGAAATTCAAAAATCCGACGTATGTATTTTGAAAATTTATGTTTACTTTAATCAGCAATTTAAATAATATTAAATACAAGTGTTTTACCTCGTTATACTTCGAGATTTTAACAAATTTCCTACTTTTATGTAGGCCACTTTAATAGAAAGGTTACTGAAATCAGTTCTTTTAATGGAAAAGGTTAAAAAATAGCGAAGAGCAAAGTTCCCAGTAGATACACTATAAGTACGTAAAAAAAGTGTGACAGAATGACTTATTATTATCGGGTCGCAAAAGTTTCATTTTTGATAGACTTGTGGTTATTTTTTTGATATATAGAGATACGCATGAAAAAAGTAGTTATTTTTTTGATATCTTTAATTATTACTTTATAGATGTATCAAAAAGATAACTATTTTGTCACATGAAAATTTAATATATAAAAAAAATAACCTCAAATCTATCAAAAACGAAATCTTTGCACTAAAGCAGTGTCCATCACGAGATTTTCCGTTAACTATGGCCAATCAAATCGTTAATTTTGTTTATCCGCCGAAGAAAAAAAGCGAAAAACACGAAAAATACAAGAAACTAATATCTTAACATATCTTGATTCATTAATAAAAAGTATCGGGGAAGGCAATTTTCATATAATACCTACTTGAACCCTAACCCTAACCTAGCCCTCACTCTAATATTAATTAATTTCGGGTTAGGCAAAATCAGGGATTGCGTAATTAATTAAGGTTACACCTGGCCAAAATTTTCATATGCAACATGTTGATACTAAAAACTGTCGATTACAAAATTATCCACAATTTAGCTTATGGAAGGTTATTCTAGTGCACTCCGTAAAGAAACAGAAAATGAAGGATTTTCAACTCGTCCATTGAACAATGTATCTCATGGCACATCCCGTATGCTTCCTGATAGTGCCTTTCGAGTATTCCTCAAGAACAATCGTAGGAATCATAGTTCAGCAGAAAATGTTCCTGAGCAAAGTAGTGCTATGCGTTCAGAAGTTTTTGGAACATGTTCTCGTCGTGGTAAATTCAACACTAATTATGCACTTTGTCGGTCATGTGATCCACGAAAGTTAAAAGAAGGGTGGAATTGTGATAATGAAGCCATTGATAAATTTATCAAAGAAACACAATCGAACGCCGATTCTTATCATGGTGATTATCTTGAGTGGATTTTATTTGATCAATTTAAAGATGTCAAGAAAATTGGTCAAGGTGGATTTGGTGAAGTATATTTCGCGCTTTGGATGGATGGTGTAAGAGAAGTCAAAATGGTTAACGGTATACCCGAAAAGTCACGTTCTAATCCCATTATTGTTGCACTCAAGACTATACCTGAAGGGGTAAATGAAGATTTTTTAAATGAGGTAACATGAAATAATCATTATTTGTAATGAATTAAAAATTATTATTAATTTATTTAAAAGATGAGATTACATTACGCAACCGATGACTCTTTTTCATACTGTATTAAATTATATGGAATAACATTAAAAAAACCTATATGACGGTAAATCAATATTGTAATTCTGGTGACCTTCGTTCTTTTTTGAAATCTAATTTTGAACATTTGAAATGGGAAAGTAAAATTAGAATTTTATATCAAATTTCAAGCGGGTTACATTTCATACATGATTGGGCAAAGTTGACACATAGAGATTTTCATCCTGGAAACATTTTGGTAGAAAGTAATTTGGAAAATGAGAAGAAAATATTTATTAGTGATTTTGGATTAACTTACGATAACCTTCCTTACGCTAATAAACCAGAGGAAGGTATATTTGGTATTTTACCGTACGTAGCTCCAGAAATTTTGAACAAGGAACAGCATATCAAAGCAGCTTCAGATGTTTATAGTTTTGGAATGGTCATGTTTGAATTATCATCCGGACAACCACCATTTGGAGATTGTGCGCATGATGAAGACTTATTATCAAGATATTAAAAAAAACACGTCCAAAATGTGCTAAAGGAACTCCTGAATGCTATTTAAACATGGTTAACAAATGTTTGGACGCCAATCCCGATGAACGACCAACGATGATTGAAATAAAATCTCAAATCAACAACTGGTTAAATTGTTTTGTTAATGATCAAACATCACTTTCAGAACAGGAAGTTGAAATCCGCAAGCAATTTGAAGCTGCTGATAAATTTATTACCGAGATTGCAAAATCATCTTATGATAACATTCATCCAAAATCTGTTTATAAAAGTCATTACTTTACGTTACAAGATACACAAAATTCTAAAATACCGTCAGGTAAAAATAAGCAATTTGATTGGTTTATTATTATTGTTCGCCTTTTTAAATCAATATATGTTAAATCTAGTTTCGGAGGATAAAATTAAACAAAATGATATTGAGCTTGATTTCGGTGAGTAGAATAAATAATCTAATTTAAACTAATTTAATTTACCAATGAATAATAAACTTTATTATAAATATTCAAATTAGACGATTATGATTAAAATACTTTTTTTGAAGTAAAAAAATATCAGCAGGTATGCAGTAAATCTTTTTAAGCATTAACACAAATTTTTAAAAATAATGTTGTCAATCGTGCTTAGTCAATAAAAAAATATATATATTTACTATTTTTAATAAAATATACATATTCATGGCATTTTTATTACGGAACTTGTTTAATTTTATTATTCATCATTGGAAGTTTCGATATCCAAATTCAAACTTTTCTTTAATTCTAATGCCTTTTCGTTATTATTCTGAATAGCAAGATTTAAATATCCCAATCCAATTTCTTTATCTTGGTTACTAGATGTTTTGCTCTTTAAATATAAACAAGCGAGGTTATACTGTGCCGCAACATTTCCATTATCAGCAGCCATTTTCAGATATTTCGTAAGATCAGGTTTGGAATCCTTTGATTTTGGCAAGGAAATTGCATAGTAAAACTGAGCATCTGTATTTCCTTTATCTGCTGCCATTTTGAAAAGTTCCTTGGCTTTAGCCTTATCATCAGCCTTTTGTTCTTCAGATATCGGTTTGTCATTGTAGTAACCTTCCCATAAGTAAAATCCTTTCCAATATGTTGCAAGAGAACTACCCAAGAAGGTATAGGTTACAAAGCATTCCCAGGCCAGTTTTCTTTTTTGAGGATCATTTGTGTGATGAAGTTCGATTCCTTCTTCAACAGTCAGAATTCGTTCATATGTTCGAGGTGAATATTCAGATATAGGGTGTAAAGTTGGAGACTGACCAAGTTCAACACGTTTTGACAATTTCGAAAGCTTTAAATACATTTCATCTATATTAATCCTTTCATCTTCATCGTGACTCCATGCTTTTTGAATCAAAGAAAAGTTGTTTAACAATATATAAAAAAGACGGGAAGAAATATATAATAAATCACGAACCCATTCTAATGATTTCATTAAGGCCTTCTTGGATTTCATTTTTTCCCGGTAATAAAGAATCAGGTGAACTTGATAATACTTCTCTTTCACCTTTCATTACATGATCTAATATATCATTTAAACTTTTTTCTTTATAAGGAATTCTTCTGTAGCATAGTTCCCAAAGAAGCATCCCGTAACTATAAAGAAATATTTTGTCTTAGTCACAACAATCACTTGTTAAATAATATATGAATATGACGTGTTACATCACGTATCACCCAAAAATTTCCTGTTTTTGTGTATACGGCACTACAATGGATTTCCCTTGTTTGCCAGCCGCATGCTCTAGCATTTTCTCTGGTGCCATCCAGTTTATCATATCCACAACACTCTTTCCAAGATTAACAGTTTTATCACCATGCATTCTTGAAAAATGAAAATTCATGATCTTTGGCTCCCTATTACGAGTCATCTATTGTATGAAAAATTAATAAAAATTGAGTAATTTATATATTTTTTAACAGATATCAAATTGATAAAATAAAGTTCACCATTATGTTTTCACAACGAATGTCATGATGGTAAATGTTTAAGGCATTTAAAAATAAGATACCACTACAGATATCAAAAGCTATATTGGCTTTGGTATCCCATGGTATCGGTACATCATGTTCTTCGTAAACTTTCTTCAAATTCCCCATTTCAGCCCATTCGAAGATTGTGAAACTTTTATTATCCTCTGTTAATAAACCATAAAATTGGAGGATGTTTGGACTTTCATGTAACTTTTCTAAAATCGATAAATAACGATGAACAAATTGCAAGTTCTCGTCTTTTTCTGGAAAAACAAAAGGTTTTCGTGCCACTTCGATGCCTCCTTTATAAATTTTCTTTACTATTTGTTTAGATTTTCCACGTCTTTGATTTGGACCACTAGGTGGATCTCTCAATTTGGAAGAGTCAATCTTTGGGGCGTAAACTTTTAGATGTGATTTATGATCTTTTGATTCTGGGTTAAGATTATTGATTTCTTGATAAATAATATTAAATCGATTACTAAACAATTCTTTCATTTGGTTCATATTCTATTAAATAAGAAATACTTTCACATTATTAAATACTATATATATTGAGATATACAAAAAATTGTACAAACAATCACCAACATAGGAGGGTTTCAGAAACATGTAGTGTGCGTACCATATTCATCAAATATAAATTTTCATCCAAACTTTTCTTATCAATTCTCCTTTGTTCTTCCGAATCGACCAACATTGTAAAATTTAAATCTCTCATGCATTTTTCAAATTCTTCAGTTAATTCAATAAATTTGTCTTTAACAGAATTAGCATAAATATATTTTCTAATACCACGAAATTGTGATATTTCTTCAATATATTTTTTGATTTCATCTAAAGAAGTTTGAAATTTTATGACATTCTTCTGGTATACTAAAGTGTGAATTTTTTCATCATTTTCCTTAATTCTTTGTTCTAAAATTTTTACTGCAGCTTCGGCATTTATAACACGATCAAATAAGGAATTACAGATTTTTTTATTATATTGTGCGTTATCACGAATTTTTTTGATTTCATCAATTAAACTAATTATGACCGTTAATATCGGAGTAATAGGTTTAATAACTTCGGTTACAGTACCAAGCATATCAATAGCCGCATTATGAATTTCTAATTCTGATGCTAATTTGACCACACCTTCAGAAGCATCCACTGTTTTAGATAATCCCCCTGCAAGAGAACTTCCTCCTTCAAACATGGTGAATAGTTGATTAAACTAAATAACTAAATGTACACATGATGTTGCAAATATATAATTATAAAAAAATGTGTAAATATAAATATATTTCTTTAATACTTACCTGAAAGAAAGAAATAGCGAATTAGTGTATTTTAGAACTGAAAACTCTAAAAAAAAAAACTGTAAAAAGCCACGTTATTAGCCTTTGAAAGGCAGTTGCATAAATATCAGATGAAATTAAATAATCTCTTGACAATTATAATAATTAGTCCGGAGCTGAGGATTATATGCAAGGTGATACAAAATGTATGCATGTGTTGTCCACTGTCGAAATTCAAAAAGGAAATATTAACAATAAAATTTTGCCAATCCTATTGTTAATATTTCCTTTTTCCGCTTGTATCACAATTGCGTCATTACGTCATTCATTGCTCGATGCGTCACCAATTACTTTAATAACAATAGCAATAATAACAACAATAATAACAATAGTAGTGTAATTAATAATTAATAATAGTTTATAAAAAAAAACCCCTTTCGCTCCGAACTCGACAACGGTTCCCGTTTCCCTAGTTAAGATAATATTCAGGATCCCGTAACGATTCTATCATGTATCTCCACGGAAGATAAGTCCCCATCGTGAAATATAAGCTTGTCTGTAACCTTTTCGTTCTAATATTTCCTTAACAAGATTATGTGCTGCTTTATCCAATCGATAACTTAACTGATTTTTTTTTCTTCTGTTCTTTCCATTCATTAGGAGTAAAATCAATATATTCCTTATACTCTGTGACGATCTTAGCTATTATATATTTTATCATATGCTTGATAAAGATTACTTTTTCTAAGTGAAGCAACAAACTCATCATAACTTAAAGCATATTCTTATTGCGTCTCATGATTTTTTTTCATCTGAGGAGTTGAAAGTATACCTAAAAATCTCTTCCTATCAGGAGTACCATCATTTCTCACCAGCTCCCAAATTCGTTTTGCCAAAGATTCGGGTCTCTTCTTGTAATCCCTGTAAGCTCGCTGGGTAACTGTTGCATAGAAATTTTCAAAGCCATAATTATATTATTTAGGAATCAAGAATCCCCATGATCGCAACATTGATCTCCCCCATCCTTTGAGGAGGAATCAATGACCGTGGCTCATCTTCAGTATCAGCCTTAGAGCACGAGTGGGCCTGCTGGCTAAGTAAAAAATGAATAAAAAAAGATTGGAGCAATCATGTTTAAAGGGCACGAAATAAAATAATATCATTCTTTCCGCCTGCCCCTGGACCATAATATGGCGGTTCCTTCTCACTACTCCGCATTATTATTATCTAAACTACTGGTCACTTCGTGACCATCTACCCATTTCATAATTGACATTATTGTATTAAATTTTGGTTCCCCTTTACCATAATAAAAGCTTTCCACAGTACTCTTCCCAAAAAGTTTAAAAAATAAATATAAATATAAAATTTAGATGAAAAATATCAAAATATTATTTTTGAATCTGTAGGATTCACTTCTCTTCATATTTAATTACGTTAAGTTCTGGAACAATTTCATTCTATTATTTTTTTAATCAATGAATTCGAAAAATTCTTAGAAATAAAAAATAACTATAATCAATGGATGTATAAAAAACTAATCGGCGCATTCCTTTGTGAACTTTAGATTCATTGTATTGTAAAAGAATTATATATATATAATAAATTTTATTGTTTCAAGGAAATGTTTAATGGAAACATGGAATGAATCCGAAGTGTAGATTCAAGGTATATGCTGGACCCTTTGAAGAAGACAATTAATCTTGGGGAATTCTGCGGAGCAAGGGCCAAATCAAAAGTATTACTTCATTCTTCGTTCTCTCCGAGAGTTCGCTTCCAACAATATAAATTAGAATTTCTGGTTATTAATTATTTTTTTAATCTAATAATGGAGATTTCAAATATTGCAATAAATATTCATGTATAATAAATATTGAAATTAAAAATGACCTTACAATATATTTTCATTGAATGTTTCTCATTATAGTACCTTTTTGAATCTCGACCTATAAAAAAATTATAATTAATCTAATGAAAATGTAAACTAAATATTGAGCGAAAAATTTAGATCTTTTCAAATAAAATAAAAAAAATAAAATAATGATAAATCTCATTTTTAATTTATATTATACACGCAAATTACCGTCCATCTCAATTGTCTTAATACAATATCCTTTTCTAGGTAACTATCCTTTTCCAATTATAAACCAGCTAAATGCTACACTTTTAAATATTTTCTTTGATGCTGATACGTAGATTAGTTAATATTTAAATCTTTACAAATTATAAGTAATTAATTAATTAATCAATTGTAACAATTAAATGTCAAATTATATCATTATTATAAATAAAGTATATTCATTTACTTATTACTCAAGATTAAATTTGATAATTGATAAATTATTATTTCAATTTTGTACACTATCCAATTAGCTTTTTCTTCGGAAATATATACAACATTTTTTATTATCTATTATTCATTTTCAAATAAAGAAAAATACCACATTACATAAAATAATAATTTATTTTTATACTGATGAGCTATTTAATTTATCAAAAATCCAAAATCCTTTTACGAAAAACGAAATGGAAGTAATTGCCAAAGGAACAAATTGATCATATGCAAAGTGCCATCTACCTAAAGACATCACCTCTTAAATGATCCATCTAATCTTTAGTTTGTTTAAAAAAAAATGCGAGGGGATGAGAAAGAATAAAATAAACATGTTTTGACTAAAAAATGTTTTCGTAAGATGATTATTAAATTTATTTAAATAAATTAATCCTTTTTAATTTTCTTAAAATTTTTTTTTTTAAAAAATAAAATAAAATAAACTTTGAAGCACAATTTGTTATATTGACCAATACGATGAAACATTTACAAGAACAAACTTTGTGATGAATGCTGTTAGATTACTTTTTCTAAATACCAAATATAAATAAATTTATTCGTATTATCCGTTACGTATTATCAGCATTATATAATCTCTCGCTCACTAAACTGAATTAACGTTCATGATGATGAGGCGTTAAATCTCAAGAATACATGCTATTAATAAACTTGTACAAGTAAAAAAAAAGTAATACCATATTCGTTGTATAATATATATTTTTATTGCTATTATTACGATTACTATTAAATTAAAAATATTTCCGGCAACTTCCACATTGCGAGGAATAAATGATGATGATCGAAACATAACCCTATAAAAGATGCGATTTTTCTGCTGTTCACCTGCAAAATCAAAAATAATAAAGTAACACATAACAATTAATAAAAGTCTTGCAAAAAATAAACACATCAAACTCAATTTTACTTAACTTTAAACAAATTAAGGTATCTTTAAATTATCTATGCGTCCTCACGATTAATTTTATGATCGGATCATAGATGTATTCATTTGATGTCTCAGAAAACATGCCTTTTATGGCTTAGCCGTTTCTTTGTTTTCGCAGTTATGATGTTCAGAAAATATCTACTTGTTGTGTGATATTAAAAATAAAATTGTCAATGAAATAAACTCTCGTGATACTAAGAAGAAATCAGAATTAATAATGATCTTACTGCAAAAATAAATTTCCGTGATGCAAATTATGCAATAGAAGCACAGAATGTTTTTCTATGATTAATGATCTAACTGGGAGAGAATTCTGGAAACCTAACATAATAATTTAGTCGCATTTCGAATCAATCAGCAGAACTATCATATCGCTTCAGAGCGAAATCAATCAACGATATTCCCTTATCCGAAGCATGAATGGAAGAGGGTCTGATCAACAAAGCGAGGCATCTACATCCTCCTCCATCCATTCATTATCTTCTTCCAAACTCTTCAGGTAAAAAATGGCGAGATATAAGAAAAAAAATCTAAGAAAAACGAATTTATTAATTTATGATTGCAGGTTCCGAGCGAATCCAATTTTCGAATATTACCTTATCCATCTGGTCCCGCTTTAAAGAAGTTTTCGATAAGGTCATGCCGAAAGAATCTTACCTTTGATGAAATGTGTTTTAGTGTAGCGGTGCGCATCCGTGAACTTGGAGGAAATATTAAAAAATAAATAGTTAAAAATTTTGTAATAGAAACACACGTTATAATAGTTCTATTGTAGATAAAATACATAGGTAGATGGGTAGATGATATGGAGTAGGGAAAGAAACTGCCAATACTTTACAATGTAAAGGGGCCTAAGACCCGGCAGGCATGATTTCATGCTCTATTCCTCCCTGCTCCACGATTCTATCTATATAAGCCGGCTTTACATTGTAATATATGTACTCAGTATCATATGATTAGAAATATCAATAAAATTGTTTTTCAATCTGAATTTAAATTTTGTGGTCTTTGAAGTCCATGTTTTATTTGCGTTTTTCTTACATACATAAGTCCTTTTTCCTGTATGAGTTCTACGATGGCGCGCCAATGATAAAGACTAATTAGACAAATTGATAGATTGAGTTAAGTAATTAATAAATACAATTATCGGCAAACTATTTTTATTAATGATGATAATAACACTTACGTCGCTAAATGATTTATTACAGTTGGGATGTGGACGCTCATCTGTATGTGTGCGATAATGGACAGTTAACGCTGAACGCTGTATAAATTGCTTTCCGCAACCATTCCATTCGCATCTATATGGACGTTCACGGTGTGAATTCTTCTATGTCTAGTGAGATCTGAAAATGCTTTTCCACAACCTATCCAATTGCATTCGTATGGATGATCATTATCAATTATAGTCTCTGAATCGCATTCACTGGAGGCACTAGATGCAGGGCTTGTTGGTCCTTTGAAATCTTCGTTGTTCAATAAAATTCTGATGTCCATTATTATTATTTATTAGAGGTCGTTCAAAAACGTAAAGATCTCTTTAAGGGTAATGATTTGTAAACGTGTGTGATTTTTTTAAAAATGATAATTTTAAAAAATTATTCCTCGATAGACAAGAAAAAAAGGTAATTTATAAAGGACGTGGAATGGCATGAAAGGATGGTTTTTTAAAAATGACGGCGCTTCGTCTACAAAAAACAAATTATAAACCAAAAAGTTAACGATGTACAATTTACATTGTTTAGATAAACATATTATATAATTAAAAAATACATATAAATACAAATGATATTTAGGAGAGAATTTGGAAGTCGTTGACGTTACTGAAGGACAGTAAAATCAACGTAGAAATTCTTTGCGTCAGATTACCGTCAGATGTCACACGTTGACCAGAATTATAAAACCGGCCTATGTAGATCCTTTTAATTTCACCCTAACCCTAACCTTAATTTTGGCCAGTTTTAATCTGACGCAAGCATTAGTCTGGGGCACAACATATTTTATCGTAAAACTTTGACGAAGTAGAGGTTTTGGACTTAAATATATTAAATTTTAATATATATTGTACTTTTGAATGTTATTATATAAAATATATAAACTAAACTTATAAAGAATATTTAGTATATAAAAAAAATTTGTTCGGTTCTGCTTTGTAAATATTCGGGAAATAAATTTTTACTTGTGTTAATACATACATATAATAAGTGACATGATACAAAGCCGTTCCCTTGGGGAACGAGATACTCGATCATATGCGGATTAGTAAACATCGATATCAATATATCATATATAACAGCGAAATATACATGCACATTCTGAGCCACCAGGACCAGCTTTATTAATATACCAAAATATTATGTGAAAAAGACATATTCTTAAAAAATGCACTTTGCTTATTTAATCTTTCCTCACTGGGTGGGGACTTATATCACTAATCTTTCTTGATCTTTTTTAACTGTTCACAATGCCCTGTAAAAATTACAATATTAATTACACAAAAAAAAAGAAGCGTGCCAGTAATGTGGTGCAGTAAAATCAGAAGCTTGGATTGTGGGTGAAAATTATTACTTTTTAACATCAATAGTAACTATTTTAACTAAATAAAGTTAAAAGATATCAAAAATTGGAGGCTTTAACTACAATTGAAAATAACGGAAATCGCAGAATAGGTGTCGAAATTCAAAAAAGGAAATATTAACAATAGAATTTATTAGAATTTATTGTTAATATTTGCTTTTTTGCATTTCGGCACCCATCTCTGGAAATATGCGTACATCAATGGTGACGAATTTTCATAATCATCACTAAACTGACTAATAAACTGATCTATAATTGGTTGTTCCTCTATACTAACAAGAATTTTTGCTAATTTTAATCTCTTGCGCATTGACATATTAAATAATTCTTTTTCCGTCATATTATCGATTACGTCTGACATTCTGTCATCAACCTCTTCGGGTATATGTTCAAGCTTTATTTTCTTTGTAAGTGGAAAGGGTAAATTTGTTTGATATATAATATTTGGCTCGACTACATCTCGAACAGTTTTCCATTCATCAAGTACGAACTGTTTAATTATTGCCAAAGCAATACCATGATTATTAATTTTAGATGATGTTAAATGTTGTTTCTTGCCCTCTGTCTCCGAAAAAAATAAATCATCCAATTGTCTAGCAATCAGTTAAGACAGACATAGAATTTGTAGGATACAACTTATCAATTAAAAATAATTCTCCGATGGCTTGACCTTCCTTAAAATTCTCCTCCTTTTTCTCAGTTTCAACCCAAACACAGGGGGTATCGCTTGGTCCAATAGAAATATCAGTACCTCCTGTTAAAGTGACATTAGCACTTGGTATATGTCGGCAATAATCACTTTCATTATGGACATCCTGAACATGAAAATCTTCTGGTAAATTTAATGCATCCTTAAACTATTCCACAACTTTGGACATTTGATGATCTTCACTAATTTCCATATTCCATTCGAATGGATTGCATGATATGGGTTCGATAGGTTTATAGGCGTTCAATAATACAGGAGGAGTATACCTACATCCAAAGATGTTAATCCAAGTTTACTCGCTAGATCCCTTGCTCTATTTTCCGAGAGACTCGATGCTTTGATTGTTATAGTAGGCTTAAACTGGGAGAATCCTTCCTGGATTGTTTTTACAACCTTACTTAAAACTTCTGATTCTTCGTACTTACGTTTTAACGTCACAGGAAAAGCCAAAGTTTGTTAATGTCGCAAAAACATAAAACAATTTTTGTCCCGTTAATCATCACTTTTTTCCTGATAAACTTGAATGCATACCAGGTGAATTTACGATGACTTGTAGAGGTGATTTACCATTATTTTCAAAACTACCATCCACTTTTAGCCAAGAATCCAAGTCTTCTTCTTCACCGTGTCTTCGTAGAGTAATGCGGTTAATGGCCACATCATCCAAATCGGGTGACAGTTCCTTCTTGATCGCTCTTATCAAATCGTCTACAATCTCTCCGTTAAAGATAAGTCTAGTTGGTCGGCTGTCATCATACTTAATCCAGATTTTGGACAAAGTGCCTAAGTGAAACTGCGCTAAATCTATTTTCACAGAAACATTGAATAACTCCTCTACAAAATAATGCTTGTAATAAGTCTACTTTACCACTGGATATAGATTGTTCCTTTTGCAGGGGAGGAACATTTTCAACAGTTTCAGTTATTTCGGCATCTCTGTCTTGTGTGGATGTACCAAACTTGCAAGATGTGCTGGCAACAGTAGGTAGAACATCCTCTACCTCTACGAAAGATAGTTTTCATTAATTATAATGAATTCTTCATAAACAATACTCGAAATGCATGTACTGTACCTTTCCTTTTAGATTTTATTTTTTTGAAGGTCCTTTTCATTGTTTATGTTGCACTCGTCATTTTTCTGCACATATATTATATATTTCGACCAATCAAATTCGAATTATTTTTATCGATCAACAATGCATCAACAATGCATCACGGAGATAAAAAAAGATCTGATATTCACAATACACAATATAAGGATGAATCTACGCATTTTTCTATTGTCTTTTTGTTTAATCCCGCTGTACTTGATCTTTTCACGATCTCAATAATATAGTTCACGCAATCTACTGTTATATTTTCGTAAAGATTTTAATCAATCCAAAACTGTCATCACACTTGAATTTAGTATGTCCAGGTGCCATAAAATTTAACTCGATACTTTCATAATAACCGCAAATCACTAGATATAGGTAAAATTAAATGGTAACATTATTTTTATTTTGACTACCTGCATTATCACAAGTAATTTTTAAATGTTTTTACCTTTTACCTTTATTCAATCTCTTAATTCCATCGAAACCATACTAAGCGTATCATTAGGGCCTTTGCCTATTATTTCATTTTCATCAAGAACGTAATTAATTTGCTCACATCTTGAATATCAAATAAATGCACTTTATGCGAACTGAGATAGTAAATTTTACTTACCTGTTGATCGGAATGTGAAATATGAACATTTTGTGCTCAATCATAACTGTAGTGAGCACACTACAATAATCAACTTCACCTAAGTTAAAAATATTAACTTATCGCATTCTTTACTAAATATACCCATCACAAGATAATTTTCGTCTACCAATTTCTTTGTTCTATCGCTAATTTTGTATTCTGGTTATAATAATTTCTCTCCAATTTAGCCTTAACTAGATATTCTTTGTATTTTGTCAGTAAATCTTTTATTTCTTCCTCCTATAGGTATTATACTGTCAAAAATATTGGCATGTATTACATAAATCCATTCTTGGACTCATAATTTGAATATAAGGTATTAATTGATGTCACAACTTACGAAATACATCGTATTTTAACGAGTTTAACGTGTTATCTCGTTCAAAACCTGCAAGAAAGTTGCGATAAACTTATTTATAGCTAGTTTCTGCTGGTAAAAATATAAGTGACTGGGTAATTTAGTTGACATTTCTACTAGAACTTGTTAATCCATAAACTTCAGCATAATTCTCCGGAAAAATTCTTAACTGCTTCTGCAATATCTTATCTATTACCATTTTGATTTTTTCATTGTGATATTCTTTTTAAATTACCACGAATTCTTGAAATAAGTCCATTATTTATTAAGTGATTTCTAATATTTTTTTAATTATATTTGACCAATTCCTAGCATATTAAGATATGTATTCTGACAAGTGATGTATTATGAATCCCAATGATAGAATGTTCTTTTATTAGATCTAATTTTTCTTTTAAGATCTTTAAGTTAAGCCATTAAAAATATATCATGTTCCGATTTAGATAAAGCTTGAAAAGCTTATCACATTTCTGCAAATTTTTCTTTTGGAATTTTATTTGAACAACCACAATTACGATCATTTTTAAAAAAAATATATTGCTTCTTCATATTCAGTAAAATTATGTTTATTTTCTTTCATATATATAATTTATCACTTTGTTTTGTTTTTTTAATTTTTACAAAGAAAAAGAAAAATCAGAAATTTTATAAAATACAAATTTAAAAGCAAAGTATGCAAATTTATATGAAGTTAATAATATCTTTTACTCATTATTTTCATTTTCACTTTCATAATTATACCCTTCATAATTATATCCAAGAGGATGCATAATTTTTATTTCATTCTCCTCCCAATTATCTCCTTCATCTACATTATTAACTTTCCATTCAGCATTAAATGGTGAGATATGAGAAGCTAAAATATCTTGAAGAATCTTGGATACCCTATCATCATTTATTTTAAAATGATTAAATCCAGAAGTAGCCCAAAACAAAGATAGTGTTTGATAATTATCAGTTTTCAGTCGACGAGTTTCTGTAATTTGTCCAGGATCTTGTGCATAATGTCCAGGTCCATGAAAACCAAGTTGCCAATATAAACAAACACATGGTTTATTATATTTTTCTAGATCAGAATTTTTAAATACATAACCATAATTAAACATAGATCTAGCTGAGGCAGGATATTTATCATCAAACTTATGATCTTTAATATTTTTGATTTGAATAAGAATAACACTATATTCTTCAGTCGTTAGTTTGATAGGAATACAAATATCTGCACCAGGATTATTTCGTTTCATAACAAAAGCACATCTTCTCATATAAAACTGTTTTAAATTTTTCTTTTCTGGTATATAATCAATTGTGTTAAAATGAGTAAATGCAACTGTTCCATCAAGCAGTTCCTGTGAAATTCCATTAAAACTTGGTAAAGAGTTATCATTATAAAGCTCCCGGAGAAATTCTTTAATATTGTTTTCTGCTCTATTATTTCGTGATCTCAATCTATTAGCCACAAGAACAAGAATAATTCGTGCAACAATCTCTCCTCGGGGATCAGGTTCCACAATACCTTTCTTAAGTAAAGTGCTAAACTGATTTAATATTTGCGATAATGCTGAAGTAGACAGTAATTCAAAAGCAGCCTCTGATAGTAAGGGTTCAGAAGGATAAACAATAATTAACTGTTCTCTATCTTCTGATACAGCAAGACAGGTAGCCATATGTGAAGCAACAAGTTCTGAGGCCAATTGAGACTGTGGTGAGATATCTAATCCTATCAAAGATGATAAAATTGCTAAGCTACTAATATCTTTCCGACTATTTTCAAAATGATTTGCACCTCCGAGCAGCTTTCGCTTGAGAAGATTCATAAGGTTATTAATGGCTTGAGGGTCATTTGGACAACTTTGCAAGTATGACATATATAACGGACGACCATATTTAGCCAAATTTATATGCTCATCTTCAGAATTATTTTTATGCAAAGCATCCATTGTGGTTAGCCGAAAATATGGATAGAATAATTCAAGAGATAAGTCATCAATATCCCGATGTGATGGATCTAAAGATTTAGGTGGCACAAAATTTGATATCCTGCTTAGTGTACCCAAAAGTAAGGTAAAAAACCCATTCCATTTTACTTTTCTCAACGCCCTGCGAAACAATCTATAAGGGGAAATGTTGTGCCCCTTAGATGGTGAAATAAGTGCTCTAGCCTCGTCAATGCAAAATAAAAAACGAACATTATCACTTGGATTATTCTTAGTTATGAAGTCACATTTATTATTTACTTCACTCTCAAGTATATTTCTCCAATTTTTTGATCTTCCTTGAATCTTGGTCCATACTTTCTCACAAAATGAAGCATCCATCTGTTTATCCCAAAATTTTTGAGTGTTACAACCACATGTTATTAATTCTTCATTGAAGCATTCAATAATAGCCTGCAAAATATAGAGAAATCTCCACTCTTCTCCTTCCTTTAAATCTTTATTCACTCGTTCAAATAGATCTGCGCCAGCACTTGTACGTGGGGGATATCCAGTACTTGTTATGTCCCGGAGGCAAAGATAAATTGTGGGTATTTGTTTAGCCACTTCTTTAATCAGTCGCGATTTTCCATATCCGGAACTTTGAAATATCGTAGTATATGGAACATAATGGTTGGTATTATTATTCCAAGTTTTGTGCTTACGATTTAGATAAATCAGAAATTTATTTATCATTCCATCATGATCCACATAATCTACATTAAATGCTTTTTCGAGATTTTCTTTGTGAATTTCAGATCCAGTATCTATGGTATTTGGACTAGATAAAGTAATGTTCAGGGTACCAGATTCTCGTGCCGTCGCTACATGTTGTTGATCCAGAGCTTGTTTATCATCTCCTAGGAAACTTGTATTGTAAGTGATAAATTGTGCAAGTGACTCCTCTCTTTTAGTGAATGCAATAACGTCATTAAGTGAACTTATGCGTTGATTATGAAAATGAAGTTCTTTCCCAGGTACTTTCACAATTAAGTTTATAAGAAATGTTTCATCTTCCAAAAATAAAAAAAGTGACAGTTGTTAAAGTACCAGAAATGAATTAATTACAGTATATTCAGTTGTATATTATGCTTACCAACTACAACATGCAACGCTTGATTTTCCGTGTTGTATAATCCAGAGATAAGAGTTTCCGAACCCAAGACTTCATTCTCCCCGCGATGAAGGGTGATGACTTTATCTGATACCTTTTCAATAAACTTTCTCAACTTTGGTTTAAGAACTCCTATCAAATCTTCTACATTAATTACTCCCCCGCCATTTAACCATTCTCGATTGAAAGTAATGGTTTGATCATTATAACGGACGTGTACTTCATTAGATGGTGCTTGGGCTATGTTAAAGTTAAACAGAATGTAAATAGAGAATAACAACTTAAGTGAACAAAAGAATATATGCAATACTTTTAAACACGAACAAGTATGAATGATTCTAAATAATTACCTGATGAGGTACTTGAGCTAGTTACCATTGTTGAATGTATTGTTTCTAATAGGACAAAAGATGTATTAGATATGTTACAGCACGTAAATAGCAATAAATTAAAGCAGTAAATTGAGATATACCCTGAGGCGAATGTAATGAAAGTGTAGTTATCAATTCCTGATTTTGATTCCTCAATTTCTGTATCTCTTGATTTTCTGACGCGGTCGCTAACGAAATCTAGAAACTCAATAAATGAATAAAGCTATGTATTTGTTGTGTTGGAAAGGTTAATAGAGGAATATTTTTTTTTGATTGTAAATCGTAAATCGCGTTTTCTGTTTATATATATATACACAGCAGATCACGACGCGCAATAAAAGTTTGTGCATGTGAAAAATTAGGTAAATAAAACATCTGGATAATTGACGATAAAAATCCAATATGGGTCGAATGATTAGTTAAATATTATTATATTTTTTTACAATGCATTAATAATCTAATATATTATGGCCGAAGATAATAAAACTGTTCAAGAATTCACAAAAATATTGGGAACAATAATTGAAAAAGAATCGCATGCTCTAAAATCTGATAGTTGCAGTTTTTAGTATTGTTTATCAGAAAAAATTTGTATACCTCTTTTTAAATTATTGAAAATAATAAAACCAGAGATCCTCTAAAATATTATACACTCGATAGCCAATCCAAATATTGCAATATTTTGAGGGATAAATATTTCGATGAGTCAGAGTCCGAAACACGAATATGTATCATCTGGTTATACATGCGTAGACTCAAGAAAGAAGGTGAGAGAGAAGTATAATTATTAATTACTCAGATTAATAACTTATTTTAAGATGGAATTTTAGTCTTGTTCTAAAAGTTCTGGTAAATCCCATTCTTCTATATTATCCCAGAGGGTTTCATCATAATAATAAATCATCAATAGTAGAAACAATTAGTATAAACAAAATTTAAATTTATTATCTCAATCAAGAAAATGGAAATCTTATTTTCGTAAAGATTATAAATTATAAACGATAATAATATTTCTTATTAAATAATGTTTTATTTATTATTAATTTATAAATTTAGCATACCCTTATGAATTTCGAAATTAAATCATGTTCACGACAGTCACATTTACTTGAATCTTATAAAACGTATCTCTGGACGCTTTTTAGAAAAACTCAAATTTTGGTGGAAAAAGATAAAGTCGTGGAAATATTGAAATATCCGAGGACTTGGTAAGTCTTATTCTTATAATTTATTTATTTATTTTAATTTAATTTACACTAATTTTTTTTTTTTTTTTGACATCATTCCATTATTTCGTTTATTCTTATTCATTAAATAATGACTACAAATTTTATGATCGTTTATCAAATGACCTCACTCGACTTCTTGAAAGCCCTATAGATTGTAATGTCATAATTGAAGTTGAACAAAATTTTTGAAGTTCACTTTTACATTTTACGATCTCGTATTACTTATTTTAAAAAGGAATTTAATAAATCTCATGCCAAAGAGTTGAAAAATTTTAATATTTCTACTATAATATATCTCTTTCTCATCATTTCTTCATCATAATAATCATAATTCATCATAACAGCAACTACATTTTACTTTATCCGCCATAACCACATTATTATAATTACCAATCACTCTTTAACTTCATTTACTCTTCTCGTTCAAGACATATCAAATAACAGTTTTAATGAAATTTGTAATATTTTAATTAACCTTTGTCTAATTTAACGCAATTATTTTATTTTTATCTCCTTCCTCTACTACGATTTCTTTCTCTTTTCGAAATAATTCTTCTTTATTAGTTTATAATTATACTTTAAAAATTTAGTTAATCTGAATTTATTACCACCATATACCACAATGATCAATATTCGCAACTTTGATGACTAGAATAAATAGTGCGTTGTGAATTAATATTAAGTGATGACATATTAATTAAAATGTATTTCTTGTTTGTCGAAGAGGATTATTTACATCATAATAAATTAATTTATAATAAATAAAGTTAAGATATGAGAATGATTATTTAATATTCTAGTGCTCGATGTATTTATATTTATACTAAAAAAAAAAAAAAATTCACATCCCTTTAGGTACAGTTAATCCTTTAATCAAAACTTTCCTCCATCTCTTAATCAGAATCAAAAATTTCTCAATGATTCTCCACAAAACTTTCTAATTTCTGTCTATTTTAATCTACCATCTTCAAACGCTGACCAAAACTCTTACCATATTCTTCTTGATATGGAACAAAATCATCTAGATTCTGCCTATTTTAATATTCCATCTTCAAATATGAACCAAAACGTTTGACAATCCATTTCATAATATAAAACAAAACCCTCAACTATAATTGGCGATTTATTTTTTGCGAAACCTTACTTTTATATTATGCTAGTTATTTAATTACATATAATATTATTTTTTCATTGGTGTCATTGTTCTTAAATTAAAGAGGATAGAATAAATAGTACCTTATTGTTTTCTTTATTGAATTATAACTTCAGGTAATGATAAATTTTCAGACTTATATATACAGAACATTATACGAACAATTATATGAATATATGATACAATATATACAGAACATAATATGAATAAACTTTTATTTAAATAAATTTTATTATGACACGGTTCGTTAATAATGTAGCTGTGCAACATGTGATTTTTGCGCAATCTGTGTTGATTATTTTATAATTTTTTTTTATATTTAGGTTTTTGAATAGAATCACATTTGTCATATTATACAATTGTACAGTCATGCACAAAATGTACATACACTTTACATGAAAAATATATATATAATATGTGTATACCAAATTAATATTTATTAGGAGTACAGTTCTTATGAATCCATACTTTATTTATTTGCTCTACCATTTTTCTCAATGCTACAATTTTTTGTCATATTTTGATTAAACAATTATTATTTTCAAAAAAAGTTCGTACCTGTTTTTCTTGATTATAATCTGTGATATCAATTTCTTCTTGAAAAATTAGTTGATCATTAAATTTGTTTTTTAAATGCAGATGAAGCAAAATATCATCAACAAATTTTGTATTACGCAATCCAGAAACATAATTTTATATACTGTAGATCTGCTTTGTACAGTATTTTGAATTTAATAAATTATCAATAATATTTATATTTATTAGAATATTGATCAAAAGACAACAAAACTTTCAGGTCCTCGAAATTTTGGATTAGATATTGAAAAATTACATCAATGTCATCTAGAAATTTCCAATGAATCTATAACTTCTAGAAAAAGGCCTCTTTCTCTTATTCAATCTAAATCTGAACAAAGTAAACGTTTTACTACTTTTGGAAAAGATTCAGAACAAACTCTTACATCTTTAATGTTAAAACACAATATAGTTACAAAAACTGGTCAACTAGCTCTTTCTGTTCGTAATATTGAATTGGAATTTAATGGTGAAATTGTCAATTTAATGTATAACAAAAATGTTGAATGTGAGAAATTAGATGCTATTGTACGAGCTTGTGATGAATCTTTATTAGCTAGAGACAGATATCAGCATTTAGCTGCTGTTGAATCACATCTTATTCGTGAATATCGTATTGGAGAACATAGAAACAATATTACAAGTATTATTAATAAAAAAATAAGAATAGGAACATTTAATCTTGACAAAATTCAGCAAAATGATGATAGTTTGAATATTTTAGAACATTACAATAAAGAAATATTAGTAGATAAAATAGAAATTGGAAATGGTGCATATAGATCAATAAAAACTTTACTTGAAGTATTAATTCCTATTTGGAAAAATTCTTCTCCACCCGTTTAAATAATGGAGAAAAAATTAATTTAAAAATTGGATGTGATGGACGAAATGTAGGACGTAAACAAAATTATGTAATGATAACATTTTGTCTATTAAATGAAAAACAAGAGGTTTTAAAACCAGATCATCAATATTGGTATATAATTTTATATTTATTCATTTATTAAATAATTTTTTTTTAATAATTTTATATTTTTTATTAAAATTATAGTATTTGTCTTTACATTGGACAAGAAAATTATGATGATTTAGCAAAAGTTAGTAGAATATTTCAATACCAGCTATATGATTTAAAAGATAATGGAATTATAGATCAGGATAATATATATTGGCCTATTGAATTTTATTTTTGTGGAGATTGGAAAATTGCATATATTATTAAAGGTATAAATGCTCCAAATTCGAAATATTTTTGTTTATTCTGTAATTGTGAATCATCAATACGGTGGGATATTAATAGAATATGGAAAATGGAAATAATTCTAAATGTAAGTTAATATAATATTTAATTTAATATTAAATAGTAAATATTAATTTTTTATATATTAATTAATAGCTGAAAAAAAATCACCTTTATTTTCTGCAATTAACCAAGAAAATTATATACCTGATGAATTACATTTGATGTTACGTATATCAGATGTTTTATTGGAATTTTTTTTTTCAGATTTATTTAAAAAAAAAAGAATTTGCAAAACAAGTTAAACCAGAAATAGAAAGTGCATTTAAAAACATAAAAGTTCATTTCGAATTTTTCCAGTCAAAATCAAATAATAAACAATGGAACTGGACATCTTTAATGGGTCCCGATAAAAAGATGTTAAAAGATTTTCCAGTTGCACAATTTATTTCAGGTGATTGTGAAAAGATATAGAAAAATTATGGTGTGAATTTTATCGTTTATATACGTTATATAAATGGCACTGATCAAATTCGTGGTTTATATGTAACTCCTTATATGCAAAACATGTACCTCAATTTTTACATGAATTAAAAGAAAAAAAACTTTCATTACAATACTTTTTTACATCTAGTATTGAAAAAAAGAATCATAAACAGGTATAAATATTATATTTGATTTATAATTTGTTATATATTTTATTGATTAATTTTTTTTTGTTACAGGTTCGTCTATTTTTTGGTGGTACTACGATGGGTGGGGGAACTGATGGAAAATCTGTTGCCTATAATATAATGTCATTTGAGAATCGCCAATTATATTATCTACTTAATAATACTTCTAAAAAAATAATAGCTCGAAATGTTAATGTAAATAAAGAAAATATATAATTATTTCCTAACATTTGATGTATAATTTAGATATAATTGTTGAAGTGGTGTACGAGGTAATATAAATTTATAATTTATAGTAGTTAATTTCAGAGGTTTATTTGGTTTATTTCTAAATAAAATAATATAATTTCAATAATAAAAAATATAAATTCAATAATAATAATTAAAATTATTTTAATTAATTATATTAAATAATTTATACTATACTCATTAACGAATTCCCCGGAATCAGTTAAGAATGTACATGTTACAGTACCACATTGAAAAGTTCGCTTATTTTCATTTAATTTCAATAACGACCTATTAAAGATAAATTTATAATTACTTATTTTTTATAATTATATTATTTAATGTAAAGATACCTACCAACTAAATTTTACTTGATATATTTCTTCATCATTAGCAAATAAAACGTAACCAGTAGTTTTTGTTTTGGGATTCCGTTTAGAACTCCAATTTTCATAATTGAATATTTGCTTAAGTCTTTCTTCACCTGCCTTTTCTTGAAAGTGACAATAATATTTTTGTTGTGTTGGGATATAACGAAAACTAGATTCATTTTCAAATAAATTTACAAAAACATTTTCGGGAAATGCACTGATTGAAAGTTTTTTAGAACCAATGGAGTGTCTATTAAACCCAAGTTTCTTTTTAATAAGAATTATAAATGCATCTTGATATTGATAAACAAGCTCAAAAGAAGGTAAAGAAAGTGAAACTCTATGAGGTATAATTTTGTTGTTGCGATGTTTATTTCTTTCATGTATTATAAGCTTATTTCTAGAAGGAAAGTTTTGTTGACAAAGGAAACATTTGTGAGTTTCTTCAATATTTTCGCGCATATTTATGATGATTGTTTATGTTAAGGATCAATTAAATTTATAACGTGACATCCAGATGTCACATATGTGGCATTATGTAATATTTAAAAAGTGAGTGGAAACAAATCAGCCCATATGTTCTTATATATGGTTGATATCGTATATTATTATTTGTGCTTTGATTAATAATATTTTGATTTATATTTCCATTCAGTAAAACATCGATTCTTCTCTTGTGGCGATAATCTTTTTCCCCCAAATATTTTCAGTTGCGCACCGTAAAGAAGAATTAATTATTGGTCGGTCATAATTGTGAACGATAGGCAAATGAGAATTAATTATAATAAACTGAATATTATAAAATAAAATATCAATCGCTCGGAGTCGACGAAATCGTGAGAAGGGTCTTTGCGTAATTCTATCATAAATTGATCGATCATCAAATAATGTAGAATTCAATCTATTAGGGGTCGTTTCGTAAATATAATTTGTTATGATTGAAGATAATTGCAATTGAAGTTGAAGCGCCATTTTAATAATTATAACAATTGACTTAATTCAAAGAGATAGAAATAACTATAAACAATGATAAATGAAAATTTATAAATGAAAAGTTATAAAAGAAAAAATATGCTTGTGGGGGAAAAGCTCCTTATATGAGCAAATTTAGTAATTTAGAAAATAATTTTAATTGGTTTTAGTTGATACTTGGCAACGATTTTAAAATTTTATGAAATTTATTTAAATTTTATCCGTATCAAAAAAATTTTTAAATGAGATACTACAAAAAGAAATCGGATAATTCAATAATTAGACAATTATTCATTCATCGAGATATTTTTAATTTAATGTGAGAAAATTATTTGTACTGATTAAAAAATACAAAAAATATGCGGGGCCAAAATAATTGAATTTTATTCTTGGATTTCGTGAACCAATAATTTTGAATTTCAAGGGTCCGATCTACTTACTGTTAGCTTGTTTCTTTCTCTTATTTTTATATATTATTTTATTCTTTATATGTATTATCATTTATATATTATATCTG